TAAAATTATAAAGAATATAAATAATTAATATTTAAAAAATAAAATATTTAAAACTTTAAAACTTTATTATTAATTTATTAATATAAATTAAATTAAATTAATTATAATTTTATTAAATTTAATTATTTTATTAATAATCTTTAATTTTAACTATATAAGATAGTAGGGTGTATGAAATAGTGGGGTCCTATAGTAAATAACCACCCCTAACTTTACTACAACCAAGCCCCCCACCCACGCCACACGTGGCTGGCTGAGCGCATCTCGAATCTGGCTAACCTTGCCGGTGGACTGCATGATAACCCACCGACCTTGGGCATACGTAGAGAGCGGTGAGGATATCTGCATGCAGCTATCTGATGGTTCAAACCTTCCATCCCTGCGCCTCGGGGATCGGTCGTTGATATTTGCGAGCTTCCGAGCGACCGGGCACCAGGCCGGAACGTAAAAGACAAGACAAAGAGACGCCAAAACGATGAAACAGCTAGGGGATCAAGTGCTATAATATTCCCGATTAGCCCCATTATATAGAAGCTAATACACGGTGCTAATAGACTTCTTGTCACGGTCACATCAGCGAGATGAATATCATATCTCGGGGTTCCAAGGTTGCAGGATGACCACAGCTAATTGCAGATACGAAATGCAGCACTGCGCACTAATACAACCAGATTCATCAATGATCTGCAACGATCAATTGCGCTGCTGACGGCGGCTGAGATCCTATGATGATCCCACGATGGAAGACAAGGAAAATGTGAGGCGAGAAAGGGACTGAAGACAACATAGGCAGGTTAGGCCGGAGAATGAGGGGGATGCCCCCTCTTGACCCACTTGAACCCACTAAATTACTTCTACTATGCCATCGAGCTGGATATTAGCACCAAGGAGTCGAATTGACTACTCAGTACGACGGAAGACTGATGGGCCATAGCCGCATAATATTTAAATAGTTTGGGCACTCAGTCTCGTCAGTCCACGTCATTAAAGGTTCGCGGTTCATCCAATCTCGCTTTTTCCGTCTCTAGTGTGTCTGGGTTGACGCCTCTCGCTTGTGTTCTGACATCTTACAACACTAGGTTGCCGCGTTCGCTCATTCGCTGAAGATGCGACGGACTCCTTCGATTTTACTGCCGGTGCTTGGGCCTCTGGTCTCAGCCACCGCGGTGCTCAGACAGGCGGGGAACGGCGTCTGCCAGGCCACGCAGCCCACTGTGGCCGCGCCTCACGAGAATATCTGGGCAGGCTTGACGAATCAAGAAATGGCGGATGCCCTCGACTTCCTGTACAAGTCCAAGGAATTAAACTTGACTCGTGATGGTGGAAGGTAGGGCCCTCCATCCTGTACTATTCTGCCTGGACAATGAGAAGAACATAAGCTGATACGTGTAACTTAATAGCTGGGACAATACGCTGTACTTATAAGCCCTTTGAGCTGAACTTGCAAAGTCTGACTACTAACCTCGAATGGAGCCTTTCTATTGATCTACTACAGCCTAACAAGACCGATGTTCTCCCCTTCCTGGCCGGGGGAGGATCCGCTCCACCGCGATATGCCCGCGCAACCCTCAAATTTGGCTCTTCAACGGAGCCCTACATCCGGGAGTACATGGTCGGGCCCATGTTGAAAGGAAACCAAACCCAAGCGAGACCGCTCACCTTCCTGTCGACCCGTAACCCAGACAAGAAACTCCGCGTCTACGACTCCGACTTTGACCCAAATCTGAGCGACACCATCATGTCACAGGCCGCCGAGATTATCAAGGCGCTATGGAACAAGGTACTATATCAACCCACCCACCCTGTATGAATATCAAGACTGAAAATCGCCCCAAGGACGTCAACGAATTCCAGCTGGCAACGGTCTCCCCTACCAACGTCGAAAATGGCCAGGTCACTACCTGGCAAGAGTTCTATGGTATCCCGACTGGCTCGTTTGACAGTGGCACTCTCTTGCCTCAAGGTCTTTACGTGAGAAGCGACCGGACGGGCCGTGATCCTTCCAAGTGGAAGATCACCGGCTGGCTGTACAACAACGTGTTCTACAACAACATCGACGACTTCAAGGCCGCTGTGGCGAAGCCCGAATTCGAAAAGCATGGCACGGGCGTCGATGGCCCCTGGGCACAGCTCGAAAAGGCCGAGGATGCGCTGCCGTTGGACGAGCTGCCACCGCCGGTCACTGTTCAGCCTGGCCCCAAGCGATTCTTGGTCGACTCGAAGGAGAACTTCGTTTCTTGGAGTAGGTTCCAGCCGCGTCTTAGTGATGCATCGTAAATGGGCTGACAGGAATTCAACTTCAGTGGATTTCAGCTTTTACGTCGCCGTCAGCCGTGACATGGGGGTCAGGCTGTTTGATATCAAGTACAAGGGGAAGCGGATCATTTACGAGGTATGCCTCAACTTCCTTTCTTTACACGATTTGATGAAGATTGGCTCACGCTTTTCAGCTTGGCATGGAAGAGGCACTAGCCCATTACTCGTACGTCTGATTCGTCTCTGTGTACGGGATGACGCTCATTTTCATGCAGGGGAATTGATCCGATCCAATCTGGCACATGGTAGGTCACCTGGCTCTTCAAATGACTGCACGGGTGCTAATTTGCCCAGCTACTTCGATACTATGTATGGCTTCGGCTCCAGTATAGTCCCCCTAGTCAATGGTAAGGCATCTCATACACAATGTGACAGACTCAGAAAAGCTCACAGGGGTGTAGGCTATGACTGCCCGGCTTACTCCACGTACATGGACACCACCTACATGGATGGAACGACTCGAAACGTCCAACCAAACGGGATATGTAAGTGTTACCACGGCACTCCGAGGCATTCGTGTTCTGACCATCTACCACAGGTCTATTTGAGATGACCGAGGACCTGCCTATCCAAAGGCACTCGGGGCCAGGATACACAAGCATCACCAAAAACATCGCGTTCAAGCTTCGCTCAGTAACGACAGTCGGCAACTACGACTACCAGACCACATATGAGTTCCGTATGGACGGGTCCATGACAGTATCCGTCAGGGCTTCGGGATACATCCAGAGCGGTTACGCGGCAAAGAACGAAGAATACGGCTTCAGTATCCACGAAAACCTGTCTGGTTCCATGCATGACCACGTGCTCACCTTCAAAGCGGACTTTGACATCCTTGGCGAGAAGAACTCCCTGCAGAAGGTGGAGTTTGTTCCTACCACTGAGACGTAAGTTCCCGTGCGCCCCAACAGCGCCGCAGACGAAACTGACGACCGACAGATACGTCTGGAACGACGGCAAGCCTCGCAACACCATGAAGGCCAAGAAGTCGTTCATCGGCACCGAAGACGATGCCAAGATCAACTGGACACCTAATGGGAATGCCATGTATGCGGTTGTGAACAAGGATGCCAAGAACCAGTATGGTGAAGCTCCTGGGTACAGGATCATGCCGGGTATGTCCACAGACACTCGGTGAGCGCTGCCCTCTGTGGTATAATGAATTTCTGACCGACGATAGCTGCCGGAGTGGCCGCACTCACCATCCAAAACTCATCGATCGCGCAGAACGCCGCGAACCACGCAGATCACCACCTCTACGTGACCAAGCAAAAGGATACGGAAGCCCGAGCAGCTAATCCATACAACCTTTTGGATCCAGCGGACCCGTTGGTAAATTTCGCCAAGTACTTCGACGGCGAGTCCCTTGACCAGCAGGATGTGTAAGACCCTCCATTCTCCCGCTCTTCCCAGCCCATTCAATTCTCACCACACTGCCGAAAAGACTTGACTCGTCCCTAACAAAACCTACAGCGTTGTCTGGTTCAACCTTGGTATGCATCACATGCCGCACACCGGCGATCTGCCCAACACCGTATTCTCAACCGCCCACTCGGCCATCACCATCGAGCCGTTCAACTACCTGCCAGGAGACCCGTCACGCGCCACGACGCAGCAGGTCCGCATCAACAATGCGGCAGGGAATAGTAGCTTAGTCACCAGCTTTGGGGCCAAGCCGGCGACGTGTTCCGTCGACTCGGTATGCATGATTCTATTAATTCTGCAACCTATTTATCCATTCTAGCCCTTTTTGCTGACCTGGTGCTCGAACCACAGACACAGCTCAACCCCGAGGTCAAGGATCCCAGTGGGACGCTCGCGGTCCACAAGCTTCCGTACGACGGGACACGGCCCAACCGCATTGGCTAGACATACCCTTTCTTATGCACATAGTTGGTGGGATGGTGGGGCTCTTTGTTCGACAAATAAATATTTTGTGACGACCCAGTCTGATGTGATGTACTGTGGCGCAGTGTTGGACTCACCTCGGCCTTTTCTTCGTGTACTTCTAGCGGCCTTCTGGAGGCCCATTGCTCTTGACCAACTGTCTCCTGCACACAGGTTTCGGTTGATTCAGCTGCTCCTACTTGTTCGCCTGAGTGTACTCTATTCCTCCAATTTTCATCCATTTGCTGGTCCGAACTCTGGGTGGAAACGGGACACCATGACATTTATAGTACAAATATGCACATGCATTTCATGACAGAACGACCTCATCGCCGTGTCCAATGCATCCAGGATTACTTCGCAAATGTTGGAATTACTGAGCTCCGTGCGGGTGTCTGCTGTACCACCATAACATCTGATGATCTTCCAACTGAAAACGTCCCCTGGTAGGTTCTCTTCTAAGTCAGCATTTTAATGACATTTGTCTTTTCGTACAATACAATAAGTATTAATCTCTCTTACCTCTAATCTACGAGGTTCACTTAAAAGCCGCTGTTGCCCTCGTCACTACATAATCGCCGCAACAAACTTTTATATTATTAATATTATTAAGAGTTAGAAATTAACTTAAAATAAATAATTATTTTAATTTAGTATTATATTTATATTTAATGTACCTAGTTTTACTTTATCCTCTTTTTAAAAATATTAACCTTTTTTATATAAATAATAAATAATTTTATAATTTTTACTTATTTAATATTCTATAATAGTTACGCTCCCGTTGTTATTTCTTCCTATTTACTATGCTGGCTTCGCTCATTGACCATTTCACCGATAGCTGCAATCTTTGTTCCGCCCATGATATCAAAGACAGCAACATTTGCGCCAAAATCTCTAGCGATCCAGTTCCGCAACTCCACAGCCATCAGCGAGTCGACACCATAATCGTGGAGCTGCTTGTTGCGCTCAATGTCTTCGATTGAGACCGACAGAGCACGAGCAAGCTTCGAGCTCAAGGCACGCACAACAATGGCGGCACGATCCTGATCATCCGTCGCTTGGCGGAACAGCGCTGCAAAGTCAACAATGCTGCCATCTGTGCTGAGATATTCCTGGGATCGTTGAAGTTGTGTGAATCCGGAAAACACAGGTACCATACTGAGGGCAGGCGGCGTCTGTCCCTGAGCACGTAGATCTCGTGGTGTCACCACGCCTACCAACAACTGCGAGTCCTCATGCTTCATCACCGGACGATTGGGGTCACAGTGTAAGTCTAATAGAGCCAACAGCTCACTGTCCTCAATCTGGTTCATATCCGCCGTGTTCTTGCGCTGCTGTCGATAGGCCGCGTTTTCAGCAATGACACCGATATTGCGCATCCACCCAATGTCGAGAGAAACAGCTTTCTGCCCTCGTGCGGTTCGAAAATGTGCTAACGCATCTTGGAAACTGCAGCCCGAGGCATAGTTGGACTGGGCTATGTTTCCATAGATTCCAGATAAAGACGACAGAAGCACGAAGAAGTCTAGCCGCTCGGTGTTGGGGACCAGTTCGTGCAGATTCCACGATGTATAGACCTTGGACCGGATGCTCATCTCCCACTGCGCCTGGGTCATATTCTCAAACACGGCGTCTTGAAGCACCATGGCGGAGTTGATACACCCCTTGACGGGTGGCATCTTCTGCATGCACTCCAGGAGCACAGAATGTAGCTCATCGGAAGAAGACGCGTCGCAGAGAGGCGTCACCACTTGAACGCCCTGCTCCTGAAGGTCTGCAACGGTCCCCGCAGCTGCAGGTGACTTAGGCCCGGACCTGGAAAGCAAAATCAGATGTTTGGCTCCCTTCCTGGCCATCCACATCGCTATGGCCCGTCCAAGACCACCAAGGCCTCCTGCAACAATGTATGTCGCGGTTTGATCAAGCGACCAGCTACTATCCTTGACAATTCGCTTTGGGACCACGTCTTTATCATCGACTTTGATGATTATACGGCCAGTGTTGGTACCGCTTTGCAAATAACGGAATGCTTTCTCGGCCTCTGAGGCCGGGTAGATGTGCAGAGGCATGGGTGCAAGTATTTTCCCAGCTGAGATAAAACTCATAACCCTGGATAGCAACTCATATGCCATTCTCGGGTTGGACTGGGCAACGTGGTAAAGATCAACGGCACTAAAGCTCACGTTTCTTGCAAAGTTAGCCATCGGCAAGGCGGAATTAGAGGTGATGTCAGCTTTGCCGATCTCCACAAAACGCCCATAGGGTGCGACACATTCGAAGGAAGCGCGGAGCCCATCACCAGCCAGTGAATTGAGCACCACATCCACTCCGTATCCATCAGTGACACGCATCACGCCCTGTGCAAAGCTTGTGTCCCGGCTGTAAAAGATGTGGTCCGGAGCTATGTCGAAATCTTTGACCAGAAGCTCTTTCTTGTCATCAAATCCAACAGTAGTGAATACTTCTGCCCCTACCATCTTTGCAACCCAGATAGCCATTTGCCCGGTACTGCCGCATCCGGAATGTATCAGAACTTTTTCACCCTTTTTCAAACGTGCAACGTCGATAAGCGAATAGAACGCTGTGACCCCAGGACTGATAAAAGATGCCGCTGCCTCGAGGGAAAGCTGATCTGGTACCTTCACAACCATGCCGCTTCGCGCGCGCGGGAACATGCGCATTGCACTCAGGGTACTTCCGCAAACTCGATCCCCCGGCTTGATCGACAGATCACAATCAGCGCCCACCCGACTAACAACACCAGAATAGTCGTAGCCGAGATCATCCCCTGGTAGACGACCAAGAGCCACGAAGACATCGCGGAAACTTAGTCCCCATGCTTTAGCGTCGACTTCTATCTCGTCAGGGAGAAGGTCCTCACGGTAGGCGGGATCTTTCACAAACTCGAGGGAGTCCAGAAACCCGGGAGACCCCACTGTGAGCTTCAACGGCGGTCCAGGCTTCCAAGACTCGCTCTGCAATAGGGGAGCCACAAGTGACCGCATCTCGCCATTCATATGCGTCTTTTCCGTTATACGAAGGGCCCCGATATCTCGACCGCGCACAATATACTCGACTTCCGGCGAAGCTTCCTCAAAGGACGCCTTGAAAGCTTTAACCGCCAACTTTGCGACAGATGTAACACACCAATCCGGGGCTTCCTCGTTGACGTCAGGCTCGATTGCCAGTGTGACAATATGTTTGTCGATGTGTTCAGAGCGCATGGCTCGCAGGAATCCCTTTGACAAGGACATGCGCGGATCATCGGAATTCTCTTCACCAGCTCCCGTGATCCACATCAATCTGCGCGCGCGCCCTATCAGGATTTGGAGAGACTGGAATTCCTCTTTTTTGACACCAATAAGAAAGGGCGTATTGGCTTCCAGCAAAGAAATTATGATGTCTTGGTCTAAGAGGTTGGTGTCTTCAAATTGACCTAGAGGAAGGACTTTGCAACTCCATCGGCCCAGCAGCTTCGAAAGAGCTTCAGCGAGCTTCATAAGGTGGTTGTCATTTCGATTTGGAGTTACAATCACGAGCCGCCCCAAGGTGCCAGAATCCGAGGATGGCTGGTTGTTGGTCCCACTTCGTGTCGATAATATGATGCTGCAACAATGACAAACGGTGCTTTGGTAGTCCCTAAGGACGACTCGGTTGCCGGAGAACCCGTTGTCGATTAGAACTTGGTTCCACTGGTCTTCGTCTATCGCCGGACTCCATTGTCGCCACTCCTCCTTGCAACACCACCATCCGGGGAAGTTTCCGAATACAAAGTTTGTTGCTGCTTGTGCGGGAACAGTAGTCTCCAGAAAGAGAAGATGGCCACCAGGTTTCAGTAACGAGCGGATATTCGCCAAAGTCCTTGCCAGACTCGCAGTAGCGTGCAGTACACTTCCAGCAATTACCACATCGTAAGCTCCGAGCTCGAAACCTTGCCTCTGGACTTCTTCCTCAAGATCCAGTGTCTTGAATATGATACGACTTCCATGTTCAGTGAATCGATTGCGTGCGTTCTCAAAAAACGAGGGCGAGATATCGGTGTACGTATAGTCTGAAAATCTTGTCCCGCCGTTTCGTTTTTCGGCTTCGGCCAGGGCAGCAAGTACGTAGCCTGTCATCCCTCCAGTCCCAGCTCCGACTTCAAGAACCCGCATGGTGGGTTGCTCATGACACATGAGATCCATGAGTTTCTCAAATCTGTGATCGCAAAGGGATGCGAAGACGTCGGAATAAAAAGCCTCTGCCAGACCGGTTTCGAAGCCAACCTGAAGAGGATCCCTCTCTCCGGCAAGGATTTGTTTCAGGCTGCGCGCTATCGCAGGAAAAATGCCCCAGGCTGGATACATAGACTCGAGCCTCTTCAGGCACACCTCGTCATCGACGTCGCTCGCTTCCACTGTCTCAAGAGGAGAAGTGGTAGCTGCATGGTGGTCTATCCATTCTATCTGCCTCCTCAAGAAACTAGGAGTACGCTGTCGATCCTTGACTGTGAGTGACTTGGCCGTTTTCCTGATACATCGGTCAAGGGTGGGATCGAGAAGCTGGCGAAATTCGCTGATGGCCGCTGCGTTCCTGGAGAACATAGCGACGTTGCAGGTTCGATCCAGGGATTTCGAATCCAACATACTGAGCAAAGGTTTCCACGCGAGGCCGTACAGTAATTGCGTCTCTCGGGCTTCCTCCCAATCTGCGGAACCACCCGACACAGGCGCCATCGTGAGCTTTGACACGACACATAACACAGAATCTTGGTCATTGACAATATAGATCTTGCCCTCGAAGGATTTATCGTCCGTTTCGGCTGTAGCACTGGCAAAGTGAACAGATGACGTCTGAGGGGACTGCCAGCCAGCAGATGAGATCCACACGTCCGACACGGTGCTGGGAACATACGCCGTGGTCCTCTTTGAAAGGCCGTGTGACTGCTGAACTGAAAGCAGTTGGAACGCAGAGTCGAGAACCGCAGGATGGAAGACGCTCGCTGTAGTGTGCTTTCCATTCGAAACATCAACACGGGCCATAGCATTATCGGCGCCATCATACATCACATCATCTAATACCCGGAATGCGCCACCATAAACGATGCCGCACGCGTCGAAGGCTTCATATAAGCCTTTTCTGTCAATGCTTTTGCGACACGTGTCCGTTTGCCGCTGAAACACACGTAGCACCATCTCATCGCGGAGCTTCCTTTCCCGGCCGTTGTCGACTTGCGTCTGTTGAGTGGGTTCGTACTGTGTCTCAATGATTGCCGTAAAAGTCTGGCTCCAACGACCCTGATTCAATGTCGAGATCCGAATATCGGACCACACAGATTCCTTCTCGTATGGCTTTTGTAAAGGCAGTAGACGGATCACCACCTCCGACGTTTCCTCCCATGTGGGCCCGACTACCATCGGGTTCAAAAAACGGGCTTCCTTGATAAGATAACCTGCAACCAAGCGTTCTTCAGGACACATCTGCTTTGCTGCTTCAATAGCCATGAGGAGCATGCCGGCTCCGGGATAGAGCGTCGTTCCAGTAACCTGTAGGGCAAGTTTAGCAGTGACTCTGCACTGAATTTCAGGTATAATGACAAATGCACATTGATAAAGCACTGATCAAGGCGAACCGAACAAGGAATACTCACGATGTGTTCATTTGCCCAAGGAACAGACTGTAGGTTCAGAAACTTCCTCCAACGAGGTTCTAACGGATTCCAGTCAAACGCTCTTGCTCCAAGAACTTCCCGGGGTACGTGTTCTCGCAATCTATAATCACGGCTCATCCTGGATTCCGCCAGGTACTTTGTAGAATGGTCGAATGGATATTCCGGGCAGTCCACCAGAAAGGGCGGCGGGGTTCCACCATCTTTCACGTTCAACTGATTTGCGCTCTCGAGGGAGACTGGATGGCCATTACAGAATAATGTCCCCACCAGTTTCAGAATGCTGTGATGTGCCGGCAAAGCTTTATGAAGAGTGTTGATGTATCTGATCTGCCCTTGTTGGCCGTCCGATGCGAGAGTGTCATCGATCGGGCGGCGCAAAGTGGCGTGGGGGCCAACCTCGATGATATCTGTGATAGGGGAACTTCCCAGTCGTCTGAATTCGTGAGAAAGATGATGTATGGCATGAGAGAATGTTACGGGTGAGACGAGATTGTCGGCCCAGTACTGAGCCGTCGACAAGATCTTGGGTGAGATGGGCTTTCCGGTGACAGAAGAGACCATCGATATTTCCGGCTCACCTTGATCTACCGGTTCTAGAGAAAGGGATTCATCCTCCAATTCTCCGATTAAGTCGATGTATTTTGACGCAATCGCTCGCATTGGTGGGGAGTGGTAAGCGACTCCGGTCTTTAACTTGACGTTAAAAATGCCCCGCCTGTCGAGGTCCTCTTTGAGCTTATCAACAGCATCTTCCGGTCCAGAGACTGTCGTATTCCGCGGGCTGTTGAAACAAGCTATGTGGATAGGGTGACTTCCATGATCCAGCAGAGTACCGCTGGTTTGCAAATGCTGTTCCAACTGATCGTGAGCGAGATTTACAGACAACACTACATGCCAAAATGTTAGCACACGATGGCATTGCTGCTTTGTGATACGCATTGACCGCGCTGCATCACCCAGCCCGGTGTTCTTTTCGAGTTGTCCGCTTCCGTAACCAATATTCGGCCAGAGAATGGCTGCAAGCGTGCTTTACGCTGGGATATGCCACACTGGTCTGCTCCATCGTCGATGCTCAGGCCAAAAACTGGGAAAGATCGCATAGTGATGTCTTTTTGGACATCTAGGAGGGGGGGGGGTTCCTTACTAGCTCCTGGGTTCGAGGTTGTGTCTCGTAATTCTGACGCAAGCTCGCCTCGATAATATGCGATTTTGCAGGCCGAGGCCAAGCTCAGCGCGTGAGCAGTATAGGCCGCGGCAATTTCTCCTGAGGAATGCCCGATGACCATACTTGGCGAAATCGCGAAGGATCTCAACAGCTCCACCAAGGCGATTTGGAGCGCCGTGCATATTGGCTGACTATATTTCGGGAGATCGATGTTGTGTCCCAAACGTAGCTCCTCTGTCACAAATTATTAGCGCTGATTTCCGTTACAACCAACCTGTCACTCCCTGTGCATTCCGTCCTCTTTTCTTGGACTGACAAATTTGTTGACTCACCAACTATATCCCACGTGCAACCCAGCTGCCGAAGCACTCCGTTGGTCTGATGAAGAGTGCGTGCGAAAACTGGGTATTGGAGAAGCTCGACGCCCATTGCCGCATATTGAGCCCCTTGTCCGGTGAACACGAAGGCGATACCTCCGATTTCACTTGACGCTCTCGATGGCTTTGCAGTGTATAATGTACTCCCCAAACTCTCATCTTCGTCGGAAATAGCGAAGGTTCTCCACAGCATGCGGCTTCGTCGCGATGAAAGGGTGAATGCCAGTTGGTCAATTTTGGACTGAACACCCGCAATCTGTTGCTGATAGTACGGCACATAACATTGCACAAGACGGCCGAGGGACTGCTCGTCCGGAGCTGACCAAACGAGAAGATGGTTGTTTAAGGACTCCTCGACCGACGGCAGAACGGATGCGTCCGAACCCATGCATATCTTTTGGCCGTTGGACATGTCTGAATCCCCATTTGTGATAAGTGATCGCTCCCTCACAAATGCCCCATTGGAGAGTTTGGGATGAGCACCTTGGTCGAATGTCTCACGCTGAGGGTTTCGAAGCGACTGAAGGTCATAATCAGAGAATCCGGATGTTACCTGTGGAATAGTGCGATGTATTCCATTCAGGCCGCGCTTTTGAAGATAATGATAAGCGTCGTCAATAACAACATGCGCATTGGTACCTCCAAATCCGTACGAGCTGACCGAAATACGGCGTTGACCGCTCGATGGCCACGGGATGCCCTTGACTGGCACACTGAGGTTGTAGAACTCAGCGTCGATGCTGGGGTTCATCTGCTCGAACAGGGCGTTGGGAGGGATTATTCCTCTTTCGAGGGTGTAAATGGCTTTGATCACGCCAGCCAGACCCGCGCTGCCTTCTAAATGACCGGTGTTGGACTTCAAAGAGCCACTAGAGAGGATAGCATGATCATCAGCGTATGAAACCCGACCCATATCGATATACTCACACATAAAGGGGCTCTTGGGCTGATCGATAGGTTCTGAAAACCCTTCCGATAGCCTTCATCTCGATCGGGTCGCCAACAGGGGTTCCGGTCCCGTGGGCCTCGACAAAGCGTGTCAAACCGAAGTCCAGGCCGGCTTTGCGATAAACGTGCCGTATCAGCTGCTCTTGCGACTCCGCACTAGGTTGTGTCATTCCTGGAGTGTGACCGTCTTGGTTGGAGCCAATTGAGCGGATAATAGCACGAATAACATCGCCATCTCGGATTGCTGCAGAAACTGGCTTAATGATTAAGGCCACTACGGCTTCTCCCCTGGCATACCCATTAGCACGATGATCGAAGCTGAAGCAAACGCTATCGGGTGACAAGAAGCTGCCGTTCGACAGCAAAATGGATCCTTCAGGCCCCAGCATCAAGTTTGCCCCTGTCACAAGGGCCATCTCAGCATCACCACCACGAATACTCTGGACAGCCAAGTCCAGAGCTACCATGCTTCCGGAGCAGGCAGTATCAACATGAACGCTAGGCCCGCGTAAATCGAAGTACCAGCTAAGGCGATTGGCAAGAATGGAATTGGCAATCCCCGTGATTGCGGTTCGGGGAAGCTGATCAGGATCCTTGGCTAGCATCCTGGTATGATCATCCGCCATGGAGACAGCAAACACAGCAGTCTTAGAGCCCCGAAGCTTCTCCACGGGCATTCCGGCTGTAATCGGGTCAGACTATCAGCAGATACCAAGGAACATGCTCATGGAACTGGCCATTTTCAAAGGCTCGGTAGGCAGTTTCCAGGACCAGTCGATGCTGAGGGTCCATGCTTGCGGCCTCTTCAGCCCTGATTGAAAAGAAGCGTGCATCAAATGCGGTGGGGTCCTGTTGAAGGAAATGAGCCCCCCGGCTTTGGATCTAAAAGACGGTATTCAGCGTCATTCCTCATATGGACCGCTCACTAATAAGGGTGAGGTACAGTATTATGAGTCGTTGGATCAGGGTCGTAGAAGGAATCAAGATGAGTGCGCGACGTGGGCCACTCCGTCATTAGATTCTTCCTCTCTTCGAGAACTTTCCACAGGCTCATTTCATCCTGGGCGTCTCCTGGCATCTTGAAAGATACTCCGACGACAGCAATGTCTTCCATGGGAGCCATATTCTGTGTTTCTCAATGGATTGACTGTTATGAGACGGATTGGTGACTGTGGATGATTGCTTGAAGGGACTGGGAGAGTCTTAGGAAGCGTGGTACAGATGGAATCACTAGCATGTAATGTCAGTGCTATGGCACGATGTAGACGCAGTAAACCTGTCACGGTATGCTAGACCAATGCACCAGCTGCTGCCAGCTCATACCAGCTGGTTGGGTGGGCCATACGAATACTGGCACTCGATACCCTTCAATTCATCATCTGCTGCCGCCTACTGTAGCACTGAAGGACCGCGGCAGAGCAGCGGCCCAGGGCCCCAAGACGAGCGGAGAAGGCAGCCAGATTTCGACGTGATACCACCATCCGATCAGGTTCGGAGCTGTCGGTGACGTGATATCGTCTGTCCAGTGCGTAAGTGTCCTGCCATTGATGTTGCCGCGATACGGTCGATGCAACCCGTTAGACGACTGCAGAATGCCGGCATCTCTGCAGCCCCTTTTCGCAGCAGTGACTCAAGAAACGAGTGGGCTGTGCCGCGTTGCATTGGACGTTGTCGCGCTGTCCTTACGTGAATGAGCTGTGTCGCGTTACATTGGACTTGGCCGCGCCAGGCGGATGGTGGAGGAGTAACGGGGCGTCATTGGTTGACATCTGGATCGACATGCATCGATGTTCACCAAGCTGTCTCACGGCAGATATATGTTCCATTCATTGGTTGCAGGCCAACATGTAAGCAACTAATGCGGGCTTGATGCAAGGCTGACTTCGGCCTAACTTGTTCTCTGCGTGTATTTTCAGGGTACAAGTATAGTGACAAAACTACCTGAGAAGACACTGAGACCGGCCAGATGTGACCTGCCTCTCCTGCACATGTTGCCCTCATTTTCGACGCTACTTAGGCAGCTAGGTTGCTGGGTAAGCCTGTAGCCTTTTCCCAATCTCTCAGGTTCGGCGTTTACACCTGATACCTAGGTACTCGAAAACGTGTAAGATCATCAATGTGCAGAAGCTTCCCGGGCCACCGCTCTTCCATCTGAGTTGTGACCAAAACTTGGCATCATGCGATTCCTTTGTTTCCATGGTATGGGTACCAATGGAAAAGTAGGTTATTCGCTCCGACGCCATGCTCGTTGTAGATCCTCAACTAATTATATGCACTAAGACTTTCGAGAGACAAACAGGCATGTACTAAGTTCCTAGGGCAGAGAAGTGTCCAGTCCCACGAAATACCATGATTGCATTGAGGGCTAATCGGCCTGCAGAGAAGATTCGACGGGAACTGGGTCGACAGCATGAATTCATTTTCATCGACGGTACCATCCGGTGTCCTCCATGCCCTGGTCAGTCTATTCATGCCCGGTGAAACGGGGTTCATTATCTTCATTGTTGGTCTGGTAGCATCACTCTAGTCGCTCATATTCCCTATGCAGGAATGCCTGCAGCTGCAGGCGGTGCTTTCCGCTTCGCTGGCACAAAAGGCCGTGATATACAAGAGTTATACGACGGTCTCGTCCAGGTTGTGCAGACCAAGGGTCCATTTGACGGCGTGATGGGATTCTCTGAAGGCGGCTCTGTTGCAGCGGGCGCTCTCATTGAAGATGCTGTTCGTCCATTCGGCCGATTCAAGTGCGGCATTTTTTTCTGTGCTGCTGTTCCCGCGGATCCCTTATCCGCCAGGGAAGGCCATATGAGGATTTTGAATGCGGCCGACGATGGAGTGTTGATCAATGTTGCCACGGCGCACATTTGGTCAGATTCAGGTCCCTTGTGTCCAGCGATGGGATGTGACCTTCTGAACCTGTGCAACCCGTCCCTCCGGTCAGAGCATAGACACAATCTGGGCCATGATGTCCCGGGCTCACGATCAGACGAAGGTTTGACAGAAACAATCCGAGCCATAGAGCGCACAATAGAGAGAGCTAGGATGACATAATAGCAGTCGTTCACTATAAGGTGTTGACAGAGTCAACATTGTGCTCGCCAGCACACTGTATACCATCGACTTTCTCAACCCAATTTTATCTCATAGTTTCGGTGACTACTTCGACGATGAAATTTTCTTACACATGTATTTGTTCCTTCTTCCACAGTAGTAAAGCTGCAGGGACCTGAGAGGCAGAGAATCCGCACAGGACGAGCATCTGTCGGTTATACGCTTCTGAGAGGATCAGTCTGATGTGCTCCTGAAGATCTGATGGCAAATCTTTCAAATGGCGGCTCAAATCTGCCAAAGCATCCATATCCGTAGTGCCAAGAATCTTTGCTGCCTCGGGTCTCACAAAGCTGTTGAAGACAGCTGTTGTAATGGCGACGACAATAGCACTGCCCATCATCCGAAACTGGCTCCCAGATCCCATTCCCACACCTAGTTTTGAAATGATTAGTTTTGAGGCGAGTCGTTCTGGAAGTCAAATCTTTTAGCTTCTTACCATGGTCTCGAACATGCAAGCATCGTGGTATTAGTAGAAACACAAGAGTATAGTTGATTCCACAACCAATACCAGCAAGTATTTCAAATCCGTACGTCTTGGCAGGGATATGAAGAGAGACAGGTGTCGTGCCAAGGAGCGCAAAGCCTAGCGTCTGGAGGCAGGCGCCACCCATGATGACCCATATTGCCGCAATATTGAGGCGGCTGGTGAATATGGCAGAGATTACAGTCCCAAATGGCATACAAATCGTGAAAGGTATGAGCCTGATGCCGGCATTCAGGCCAGACAACCCGTTCACAAGCTGAAACCGTTGCGGAATTTGAAAAATAGTGACAATGATCGGTCCACCGAGTAACACGAAAGACCTATACGTTGTTAGCCATGTGACATTAGCATTTTCGGTTGGACTTATCGGTCGCACAAAAGTATGCCTGCCATAAGTCTATTGGTGAAGAACCTCCAGGGCAGGACTGGCTCCATGATGCCATCGGCGAGTGTGATATGTCGCTCCCAAAGCAGTAGACAGAGCCATAATATACCAGAGCTAACGAGGAGCACGATGACATAGGCTGAATTCCATGGGAACTCTGCATCTGCCTCTTCGAAGCCTGCAGTCAATGATAATACGGCACAAAGCAACAACACTGCGCCGAGGATATCAAGCCTGGTCCTGGTAGACTTATCTAGAAGGCTTCTGATACTGCTTGTTCCTCGTTTTCCCTTTCCTTGGTATGGAAAATCCCGTGGGAAACCATAGATGGCAAAAACAAAAGCCACGGCCGAAATTGGGACACTGGAAACATTGTGAGCTAGCATTACGTTGTCGACGCCACACCTCACATACTTGATTATAAACACCCATCTCCATGTGGTGCCGGAGCTAATAGCTCCACCGATGATTGGCCCAGAGAGGAGCGCAGTGCATGTCACAATCGACAGCTGGGAGACATATTTTGTGTATTGAGCCTGTGGTACAAGCTCGGTGATGATGACAGTGCTCAGTGAGAAGCAGCCGCCACCCCCGACGCCTTGAAAAGCTCGGAATATGATACTGGTTGAGCCTCATGTCAGCTTCGTTTGCAACAATGGAACAGGATGTTGAAGATTGGGGGTGGAGTCCGAGTCTCTGAAGAAAGGGAAGACAACCTACAGCTGTGTCATCGTCTGTGCAGCGCTGCATGCAGCTGAGAATACGATGAAAAATGACATTGAAAGCAGGTAGATCGGCTTGCGTCCAAATATATCACTCAGCTTCGCAAAGATAACTATCACAGCTGTTGTCCGAGTTGAGCCGATTGCCGTAGATCATGTGGTGATCTCGAGAGGCATTCTCTTACCGACATAACCTAATAGATAACCAGATATGACCCAGCTGGACTTGTCAAAGCCCCCCAGCTCATCAGAAATTGTGACAAGTGAGGTGGTCACCACCGGTATTTCAAGATTCACCATGAAAACCATCACGGCAAGCCTAGGTCGTATTAGCCCGCACACAAACATCTGTTACAAGAACGCCTACGAGGTAGTAACCAGCCAAAACGGCAAACCTTGCAGATAGTTGTAGTTAGATTCGTCATCTTCAGTGTGTTGCGTAGGCAACACAGGATGTTCTTTGAGTTGGTGGCCGCCCACATCCTCGACTTGGCCAATGTTGGAGGCATTGCCGGGACACTCCACGCGTTCTTGGGGAGAAGTCATTGCTAGCCACATTCAAGGGTGACAGGTGTAGGTGTCGAACAGCGTGGAACTCCCGGAGTTGGTCAATGAGTACCGTAACGGGGGAGGCACGGCTCGAAGGATTTCGCTCGCTCAATACGCGTGATATGGGGGCCATCACGGGAGTCAACGAGAGAACATCGGTGGGGGCGCCGATGGTGTACTGTGGTCGGGTGGCACGTCCCTAGTTTAGTCCTTGAAGATCGCAAGGGCAGGGTGTGCTTGCCCACCAATCGGCGCGCTCACGCCTACCAACAGGATGCCAAATATATCCTGCAGCTTGCCACTTGGTTATGCATAAGGCACGTACAGTGACTTGGAGCCCTGCGTTCTCTGGTTCTTGTCTCCATTGCTTCGTCGTCAGGCTAGTCTCAAATCCGTGGTTCAGGTAGGCAAGATGTCCTTGAAGAGTTACAGATCATGGTTGCATTGGATCTGGATGGATTGGAAGATGATTTTACATTGGCCCAGAAGCCGCTTACATGGAAAATCAACTGCTGACTGCATATTCAGCCCTGATTCTCAGCCTGGGCAGGCGGCAACAAACCATGACACACACGATGAAAGTGATCCCCACGCTTTCAAATATTGCCCATTAACTGAAATAGGGAAAGAGCGGCTCTGCTTCTTCAAGGACCATTCGCACCACATAGCTATGGATTCGCAGAAGAATTGCACGTCGGGAAGGATGCGCGCCACACCTAACAAGATTCAATAAATTGTTTATTACCTCCCTGAATTGCCGTTCCGGTGACTTGGACATCTATCACTTACTCATTCAAGTACCCTGAATCTCGGGTAGACCAGTTGACATGGATTTCAGCTCCCTCACTCCGGAACAGAAAGAGCACGTTTTGAATGGACCCGCCCTGGCACCTCCAGATGGCGTTGTTCCAGTCCTCGACAACCCGCCCAACCAGAATGCAATGGTTATCGCTATCACCGTCGTTTGCATGGTCATGATAACGGTTGTATACCTTTTACGTGCTATTCCTAAGATACTCGTCCCTAGGAACATGGTCGTCGAGGATGGTATGTCAACGTTTCCGCTCCACTGAACGCTCAATTCTGACCCCATAAAAGTCTTGGCTTTTGCAGCATTCGTATGTACCAATCAAGCTATTCGCATGTCTTACCAAATCTGAAGGCGCGAACTGATTATTTAGTGTCACATGGTCGCTTTCTCTTGGTGCATGATCCACTTGGCCTACGCGACACCTGGCTGGTTCGTACATCAGTGGAACTTCCGCTTCAAGTATACTGCACCTTTCGCATATGTCTGTCACCCAGATCAGAAGGTCCCGTATCACGCTGCTAAATTTCTGACATATAAATACAGATTATACATGTCGGGTCCAGTCTGATTGCGATTGTTATCATGCTTATGAAAGCAGCGATCATCATCGATTGGATCCGCATATTCATGCCTGGGAGAACACGGAACGCTTTTTTTTGGTGTGGCTGGGCCTTGATTGCTCTAAACACCGGATTTTACGTTTCAGGAATAGTCTCGGAAAACCTCTCTTGCACTCCTTTCCAGTCAATCTGGGATAAAACCATATCCGACGGTCACTGTCTCAACACCAAGGCCCTTGATGTGGCATCAGCAGCAATTGACTTTGTATCTGATTTGGCCGTCATCATATTGCCGCAACAGGTGATATGGAGGCTGCAAATGTCGACCAAAAAGAAGATAGGCATCTCATTACTCTTTGGGATGGGTCTATTGTACGTGAAAAAAAAAAAGTCCCTTCGCCCAGTTGACTGCATGTTACCATTTGTTATCCGCCCGTTTAAAGGCATCACCCACAATTCGCCACTCCAGGCTACCGAACCATTTTCTGTTGAAAGCGAGACCTATAACTGACCCCGGTACTCCAGTGCTTTGATCTCGTCCGCATTTCGAACCGCTGCCACCGTGGCTTATCATCAGTCCCGTGATTCGACGTATGACGTGTGTCCAGTCGCTCTCTGGGCTTTTGCCCGGCTCGTCGCACTCTTCCTCATATTCTGCATACCCGCCTGCCCCAAAGCGCTTCACGACCTCGGTATCACACCTGCGATCAAGAAGTCATTCAAATCGATCACTAGTGGCAGGAGTAGCTCAAACAACCAAGATTTCCAGGCGAGTCAGGACGCTAGCGCAAAGACGCCACGGCCGAGATACGAGCAACGTGACTTCAACAAAGATTCAATCCTTCTAACAAACATATCGTCGCAAGAACAACACACATCAGACTCTACCGAGAACCTCAGGGACAACCACGAGGTATATCGTTTTGAACACGATCATGGCTTCCAGAATAATGGGCAAAGCGTGATCTACCCAGGATGGCAACCTGAGCAGCCTGGTCGACCTCAAAACGGATTTTCTAACGGATGCCCCGCCGATGGTGGCATTCTTCGAACTGATACTGTTGATCTAGAGTCAGCGCAAGTTCCAGTTCACGTGGACACATCGCACTATTCCGGATATGCTGTCCCTTATCAATATCCGTGGAACGAAAAGTAGGGATGGGGATCTTGCTCGAATGTCTATGGTCTAAGCCAGCATCATCATAGCGTAAGGTGGTCTTTAAGAAGAAGGACAAAGCCGCATTCTGGCGACAGGAAGACTCGTGTATTGGCGTAACTTGTACAATCCAGACTTTTGTCAGATTTTTATGCTTTCTAATGATGTGCATCGAATTGTTCGAGGCGGTTGTGTTTGAGTGGAAACCCAAATTCAGTGCTCTTCGCCTGAGCGCGCAACATGTCACGGCAATGGGCTTGGAACACAACTGGACAGTCCCGCGTGCCAAGGTCCAACCATTTCCCCAACATTTCGAACCCGATCGATGGACAAGGGTAGCTCTGCAACAGGGATATGGTGCATTAACAGCGTTGCATCTGACAGTCAATAATTCCACCAAGCTGCTAAGCACCTAGGTACGGATGGGTAGTAAGGTCCACCGATCATGACACCGGATCCAGCTATGCAGTCAGCGGGGCTAGTCTACTTCCCGAAGTGTATCCGATGCGAGTGTGTGGTCCATTTTGGGAGATGCGGTTTGCTCAATTTGAAACTAACAGGTCGTCCGAAATGCTCTTCACCAGATGCAGTCCTCTCTGAGGGTTTCGCGCATTCCCTCCTCGCACCTTCGAACACAGTCTCGCTTTGGTTGACCATCATCCATACCCGCCCATCATATCATTTGCTGGAACATCCACAAGCGGCTCTGGCCTTAACAGCAGCGCAACATGGCTATCCTGGGGGTCTCGTACACACTTGCCAAGCAGGCCCTTTGGCTGCTTTTGCCTGGGGTAAGTAAGCCTGGCGTGGAGCCAAATGTCGCCCAAGACGCTAACGGTTTCCGCGCAGCTGCTTGTGCTATTCAGTTATCGCGTTTTGTCCCATCCACTGCTGCAATACCCGGGCCCACTCCTCGCAAAGCTCACGGATGGATATAATGGCTTCTACGCCTTGTTAATGCGTCTACACTTGGCTGTGACACGAGATCATGACAAGTACGGTACGTTGTGAACTTCCTATGGGGTGATCATGTCTTGTTGGTCAGTCGAGGCTCGGCATATTGACGGATTTAGGCCCGGTGGTTCGACAGGGCCCGAACAAGCTTGTCTTCAACACGGCCAACGCCCTCCAAGGTACCTCACCGCCAGTCGTCAACCTCTTATAGATCATTGCGTCTCCGCTAACCTCAGAGCAGAGATCTACAACAATGACCGAGTCACAAAGTCCCATGTCTACACTGTGCTTCTTCGCGCCAAGACTAACCCCCACGTCTTCAACTGCATTGACAAAACGCTGCATCGCGAGAAGCGAAAGGTCGTCAGTAAAGCTATCACCGACCAGGCGATCCGTGATTTTGAGCCTACTATGAGTTCACAGATTGATATATTCCTCCAACAACTGCTATCATCCATCCCGCACCATGAGCCGGTCAACATGTCCCAGCGCTGCAAGCGCCTAGGATTTGACATAGTTGGCCTACTAGCCTATGGATACGAACTTAACGTCCAGACACAAGATCAGTACCAATTCATGCTGAAGGGACTCGTTGCTGGAAATTATAAAAGCAATGCATTCATGCAGTTTCCATTGCTGAAACAGCTGGGCCTCGATGCCCTACTGCATGGATTGAGCAATTCCAGTCGGAATCGTTTTCTTGGGGTCATCAATGAGATGGCTAGCACACGTCTCGCGCTCGGAAGAAACGCCAGAAAAGATCTCGTTTACTTCGTGGCCGAAGGATCCGAGGGTAGCTCGCTTGATGATAGTCAGCTTCGAGAGCTACTGTATTCTGAAGGCCTATGTAAGTCAGTCTCGGTATCGGCTCCGGGAAGTATCAATCACTCATTTCTTTCAACCGGTGTCGGGCTTTTCATGGTTACCTGGGCCATCAAATGATATGAGACTTTATCTCGGAATCACTGGCTAACCTATACCGTTTCAGTCTTCTTCCCGGCGGGTGGAGATACAACGGCCACCGCACTTAGTGCGTTGTTCTTTTACCTGAGTCGCAACCCGGGCCCCTACAGCAGACTCGCGGAGGAGATTCGTGAAACCTTTAAAAGTGACCCTGAAATTCGTGGGGGGCCCAAGCTCTCAGGGTGCCGTTACCTTCGCGCGTGCATTGACGAAGCTCTGCGCATGTCCCCGCCGGTAAGTAGCAGTGGATGATGGCTCTTGGACATTAGTGATTACAGTGCACTGGTAGCGACGTATTTTCTCCTGTGACGTCACACCTAGCGCCATGTGTCCCCCTTTCTCTCATGGAGCCTTGTGTGCAATCTGTAAAATCCAGCTTCCTTTGAGAATGATAGTTGACATGAATTCATTAGGTCTCCGGTGTGCCATGGCGAGAACTTGCCAAGGGGAAGGATGATCCAAGAAGAGGTGAGCCGCTGATCGTGGATGGGCACTTTATACCCGCCGGAACTCAAGTAGGTGTCTGTACGTACGCGCTTCATCACAACAAAAAGTATTTTCCAGAGCCATTTGCCTTCCGACCGGAGCGATGGCTCGTGGAGGAGTCAGGGGAGAAAGCGTTGGCGGAGATGCGCTCCGCATTCGCGCCGTTCTCGATTGGCCCACGCGCATGTGCTGGAAAGTCCATGGCATATTTGGAGGCCAGCCTAGTGATAGCGAGGACTCTGTGGTTCACAGACTTCGAAACGGCTCCAGGAAAGCTTGGGGAGGGGGGTGCCGGGAAAGCCGGGTCTAGCGGTATAAGGGATCGGCCAGAGGAGTTTCAGCTTTATGATATCTTCTCAGCCACCCACGACGGTCCTAACTTGTTGTTCAGCTACCGTGGGGATCACTGGAAGGAGGCTAGGGGGAAAAATGCCTCAGCTGTTGGCGATGGACCTCATTAGAACCAGTCACACTCTCGATGAGAGTCGCTTGTTCGAGAGGGACCTCACAGATTCCCACGTTGAGACAAAGACATACTTTTTGTTGGACTTTTGAAATATTAAGGCCACCTTTACGAAAGGGAGTTTGACTTCCAATGGTAGGAGGAAGCCTGACAGTATTGTTAATGCCGTTCTCGATGTTTATTATAGAATCCTGCATAATATGAATCTCGGGTAATTAAGGAATTTTTGTCACGATACATACGCTATGTGCCTATGGCAGATAGTGGCGTCACTTTTGCTCGAATAGTGCAGTGGCATTATTCGTCACAATTTTGGACCCTAGTGGAATGTTGCCATTGTACGTGGTTTCGCTTCTATTCCGTATACGTCCGAGGATATACATGGCGCCTTCATACGGTGGTAAGCAGTTAAGACCCAGCGCTTAAACAGGACACGATGTTAATAACGATCGATAGTCATAATACGATAGGTGGTTGCCATTGTACAAAATTGAATATTGAACCACAACACGTCACCTGATTGCCACTTTGCTGTGGATTTGAAGTCTCCCACCCCTATAGAGCCCTGGAGGTCACCTCTATTTCGGTATAATGACTTGGAGTCAACGAAGCCGGGCCAAGTTTCTCTGGCTGGCGGGGATCGGGCTATGAATGTTGTGGTGCCAGTAGTCTCCCAGGTGAACTCAATGCACATGTACTGCACATGTGGGCGCATGATACACTTATGGCCGATGTTTATTTTGCACAGCCCTTCGTCACTTTTACAAGACAGGAATTCCTAAGCTAGGGGCAAAAGGTTACCAACCCACCCTACCTAGGTCTATAAACATTATCTAAGGTAGACCTAACATATAATAAGAATCTCACACTAAGCCTCAATTATTACCACTTAGTGCATTAGCTACTCTAGAAAAATATATATTAAGAACGAAAATTAAATTAAATAAGATTTATAAGTAAACTACTCTAATTTAACCTTTTTTTATAGCTACCTAAGTAGTCTTTATTTAATATAATAATTAGTTAATTTATTAAAAACATAGGCACCACATTACATTTTACGTAGATAAGGATTAGAAACGAAACTACTTATGAAAGAACTTACTAGTAGCTAGCCGGCCATAATACAGAGGCATGGATGGACGGATTCAATGGTTGCAAGCCTGCACTGGCTGAAGTTGATCCTAGGCTGGTACTTAGTCCTTCTAGCCGAGCTTTCAAAGTTGTTGTGTAAATTTCTTCACATCATGATGACCTTGGCGATGATGTGACAAATGATGAGTTTTGACAGAGACCAGTGTTTGGCTCTCGTGGCGTCTGACATGTTCGCAGGGAGGCGTAGGCGTAGGGGCGTTCCGAAGGTCTGAGCCCCAGATGCTGGCCACCAACCATGACTGTGAAGGGGCTGCCTGCTGCCTGGTAAACGCAACGCTACGCACTTCGCCACCCAACAACTTCTTTGCATTCCACTCCCCTACGACATCTGATGCCTTCTTGAAGGTCTGAGCCCCAGATGCTGGCCACCAACCATGATTGTGAAGGGGCTGCCTGCTGCCTGGTAAAAACAACGCCACCCACTTCGCCACCCAACAACTTCTTTCCATTCCCCTACGACAACTGATGCCTTTTTAAAGTTCCTTCCCTCTACACCTTATAATAATATACCTGTGGATGACAGAATCCAGTCGATTTTCTTCAGCCCACGTAACCCTCAAAGAGCCTCCTCAACACAGCTACACACTGATAACAATGACTTCATTCCCGAAGCCCCGAGCCCCCGGGCCCAGATCCGCAGTCGGGGACTCGCTCGACATTGAGCATCGCAACGCCGTTCTACGGGCTACGTCCAACGTTTTGTCTACGTCACACTGCATCCTTACCATGGCGCAGCTCATGGATGGACTTCCGTTGTGTGATATTGCTAGATGCTCAAGAGGAGCTCGGATAGGGGTCGGCCATCCCCTCAACAATCATACCGAGCTTTGCGACGGTGTTATGGAAAGAACAGAAGCTTGGATTGCGGGTCTTGACTTGTCAAGTCTTCAGCTCGAGAGAACAGTAGGAGCTACCACGCGTCTCAGGCGGGGCATGACCTTGCTGACACTCCGCACAGCTGTTAGAAAACTTCAACAACACCGAGACAGGCAGTGATGAGTTCAACTTGCGTCTTGTCGAGGTGGTAGCGGCGTCAATCCACCAACTCTCTGTCATCTTGTACAATAAGCAGGACAAGTGTCATGTTGAAGCTGAAATCCGCAGCGTCACCTCATGGCAAAGGGCACGCCGTCCTTCTGACACGTGGACAGTCCACCTGGCTCCTTGGCCGACACTCTTCTTAAATCATGAATATCTGAATTACGACCAATATCCTGATGGACTCGCTGACGCGGCTGCCTACTGGGCCGAGGTATGTACCCTCAAGTGCTTTCGTATGTACTAGGCTCCGTCGAGGTCTCGAGTAGCCTGGTTCAACATTGCCCGTCACTGAGAAAGGACGGGCTAACTTTCGTGACCTAAATAGGATCGAATATTTGGAGGGGTGGTGCTATTTGAGCGTGGAGAGTCTGATACTGAATGCAAGAGCATCTACTTTCATTCGGGCCGACGCAAGGAAACAGTACGGGCATGGAAATTACCAGAACACCACCTTAGGGCGCTTCTGGTTTTCCTCACCAGTGATTCAATCGGCAAAGGCGAGGACTCACCTTGTCCCATACCCATATCCTGTGAGCGGACGAATATCCATCGGGTTGACTCATGGGATGCAATGGCGGCCAGGCACATCTACCGCGACCCCTGGGAGCGAAAGGTGCCACTCGAAAAGGACGTCAATAGCATTCGGTATAATGACTTCGACTATCCTTGATGATGTCGATTGCCTACCTAGATACAGTTATGCGCATGAAAAGGCCCGGAATGTACGTGGGTAGGCGTGGGTGTGGACTCATTGGCAGACTTCAGCAGCTGTGCTAAGGCAGTACTGGGGCAAATCAGCTACAAGTGGTTTCGTTTTTAATCCCCATACATGTAAAATGTACGTGGCGCCTTCATACAGTGGTAAACGATCAAGACCCAGCGTTTGAAGAAATACAGTGCCAATAACAGTGGAAAGAGAATACAGTATGTGGGCACGTGGCTGAGCCTCGTACCGTACAGACAAGGCTGGAAGGTATCGCTCCCAAATCAACTACAAACAGCTAGTCCTGGAGATCTCGTGCCCGCAATGCATTGGGGATGAACCTGTAATGGATGTTTGAAACAAATTCCAACCTGCTCCCCGATGCTATGCCAGTGGTTTTGTGTAACTAGGTCTGAGCCACGAGGAAACTAGTACAAATGCATGAGCAATTTAACAGCTGTATAATATGTCCGCCATCTCCGTGAACCTCCTCGTTCCTATCATAATTGTCAGTCAAAACCGAGAGGGCCTAGGCAGAGTCCGAGCTCAAGCTACTCACAGCATTGGCCGCACGCGTCCGACACTTTGCGTAACAAGGCTGCAAAGTCAACCGTTTTGTCCTTTATGCCCTAAGACTGACCTTTAGACTTCTTCGAAGCTTTTTATCCAATCAAAAGGGGGAGCAATGATGCAGGGCGTTTTTACAGGCCGTCCGAGGACGCACCAGCCTGGCACGCACGAGACCATTGTAGATGCTAGGCACTATGGTCATACTCCATTGAAGTGCCATGTTCTGCATTCACGGCCCGAAATACCTGGGACGTCTAATATTTGCTCGTCCCTGTTTGGGTCAGAAGTACGAGGCCAAGCCCATGGTTATCGTGTTCAAACAGATCAATTGATATACCACGTTTTGACTGCTCCGAGCCAAGACCTATGCGGAGTAAGCTGCGATCTGTCGCGCGTCACTTTCCGACGTCCGTGTTTTCGTGTATCCTGTGGGCGGTATATCACACACAGTCAAGTCCTTTGCGACCACTGGTAATACTGCACGTCACGGTGAGAAACGAACTAGAATGCAGCGACGGTGGGCTGCATGTTGCTTCTCAAGTCCTATTGTGGCGCGCTTGGCAGGGGCGAGGAGCATGCAGGCTCAACTCGACACAACACCTCGGCTTGTTGTCGGTTCATCATTGTGGGCTGAAACCCAACAGGCAGTGGTCGTGGGTGCGCTGCAGTGTGGGTTGGTCATCATGTCATGTTGGAATTTGGCCATACATCCCTTACAGCCGACGAAATGATGGCCTCCTGGCCACACCGGTTGAATCCTTCGGTATCACCACACTCGCCTCCAGGCTGTTGAGTCCTCGTTCAAACTTGCTTCTGGATCCGGTTCCTAGGCTGCCAAGCCAGCTAGGATCTGTTGTTCGGTGGCACAGCAGGGGCAAGAAGCCAATTTTGCAAAAGACTTACGAACGACTCTAACAATCACACGATCTTGCCAGGCAAAATAGAGCCAGTTGTGGTGCTTTGGGAATCCGTCTTTATTGTGTAAGTGTACAGCCAGATCAGCACTCCATTCCACCGGCGGACCACTCTGGAATCTCCTCGTGACCAAAAGTCCCGGCAGGTATGCGAGGGGGTACGGAGGACCCTGGCCGAACTTCCGCAAAGGGCAGTTAGCTACCGTTGGGTTTGCGGGGAGCCGCCCAATCAGCTGAACGGCGGGTGCAAGAGGGAGGGTAGGGGGCCCGACATTAGTCCCCGACACGCATTGCGAAAAGTACATTCCACGAAGCAGCCGCAAGGAGCTGGGAAGCCTGATCTAGTTGGTGGCGTCGGAGGGCCTTTGGACGCACGTCGAGTTGTTCCCGGTCCTGGGGAACCACCAGGGCGAGCCAATCGCCAACGGATGTCGCGCATGAAGAGCCAAACGAGCAGCCCTCCATCCCGTGTCAGACCTTCCGCGCCCGGGCAGGCGGGTAATGATCCCCTGCTCTCCAGGTTGTTCCCTGAACGTGGCGATCAATCTATATCAGGCGGTCTTCCATTCCAGAGTCTCGACCTTCGAGACGCTGCTCCTCTCGTCTAATGGCCCCGATGTGTCACGGCGCAAGCTTTGGAGTCTGAAACCGTGATATCTACTACACCATAAAGCTGCTGCATCTCTTGGCTAGGACCGCTAGACCGCCCCCCAAGGTTGGTTCACCCCGTGTGGCGTGAGCTGGGTGGTCTATAATCCAGTCCCTCTCCGCCCAGCCCCAAGCCACATGCATTGCATCTCTCTAAAATGCCTCTTTCTTCCTCAAAGAGCTTTGAGCGGCTTGCCGACGAACAGACTTACACGGGCCATCAAGAACAGTCAGACATACTGTCGCGGATAAAAATGTCCAAGGTTGGCGCCAGACCGCAGGCCGAGATGGAGGTGGCTCGGCCCGAGGCCCCAAGGTTCGAAAGGGTGACATGGTACAAGGAGCCTCATCTGCGGAAGCTCTATGCCATGTCTCTGGTTCTCATGATAGCCTCCGCGACTACGGGATACGATGGGATGCTAGTGAATACCTCGCAGCAGATCCATCGCTGGGAAGAGTATTTCGGCTTGGACATCGACGACAACAATAAGCTTGGTGTCTTGATCAACATGTTCAACATCGGGTCCATCGTCTCCTTCTTCATCACGCCCTACGTCGCTGATAATTATGGTCGGAAAAACGCCATAATTGCGGGTTGCATCTTCATGATTGGTGGGGGCTGCCTCACAGCTTTTTGCGACGGCTGGGCGCGTAAGTTTTCAGGAGCTCCGTGGCAATGATTCCGCGGTTGGGGCATTGCTGACATCAGGGTTGACAGTCTACATCGCGGGACGGTTTCTGCTAGGCTTCGGCAACTCTTTAGCACAGATGGCCTCGCCACTACTCCTGACCGAGATATGCCATCCACAACACCGTGGCCCAGTCACTGCCATTTATAACTGTCTCTGGAACCTCGGCGCTCTCCTTGTGTCTTCTATCGGATGGGGAACAGCCTACATTGATAATGACTGGTCTTGGCGGTCCATAACGCTCATACAAGTCGTGCCATCTCTGATACAGATAACGTTCATCTGGTGGCTACCAGAATCGCCTCGGTATCTGGTGAATAAGGATCGAAATGAGGAAGCCCTGATAGTGTTATCAAATTGTCATTCCGGCGGAGACATACACGATGCCGTCGTGCAATTCGAATTCCAGGAAATCAAGCAGACCATCCAAATGGACAGAGACGCTGACAAGGCAACGTCGTACCTGGACTTCTTTCGCACCAAGGGCAACAGGTGGAGACTTGCTATCATCATCTCCCTGGGCATCATCTCTCAGTACTCGGGAAATGCATTGTTCTCGAATTACATGAATACCATCTACGAGGGTGCGGGGATCACTATGCAGAGCCAGAAGCTCGCCATGTCCACCGGAAAGACAATTCTCGATTTGGTCGTCACCATCGCGGCCGCCTTGAACGTGGATCGTTTTGGCCGGAGGCCACTGTTCCTGATTTCTACCAGCGGCATGGTGGTCGCCTTCGCGGCATGGACGGCGACAGGCGCGATATATGAGAACTCGGACATGACCAACATCCAGAGTGGATATGCCCAGCTTGTCTTCATCTGGCTCTTCGGCATCTTTTACGACATTGGCTTCTCTGGGTTGTTGGTTGCCTACGCGCTAGAAATCCTCCCTTTCCATTTGCGTGCCAAGGGCATGATGATTATGAACATCACCGTGCAGGCTGTGCTGGCGATGGGAAAGTATGTCTCGATTCATCCACAGAAGAGGAGTTGCCTGCTGACACCTTATTAGTCAAACAAACAAGATTGCCTGGGACAGCTTCCCCCGTCACTGGATGTTCATGCTCTTCTACACTTGCTGGGATGTGGTTGAACTGGTTTTCGTCTACCTATTCTACGTCGAAACAAAAGGACCCACGCTCGAGGAGATCGCACGTATATTCGATGGCGATGATGCGGTTGCGCACATCGATTTGAACGAGATTGCAAAGGAGCTGCACGGTGATCATTACGAGGAGGCTCATTTCGAGGCATACCGGCATAAAAAGGGCCCGTCTGCTCGAGAAAGATACTATTCATAGTGTTGTGACAGCTTTTTGCCAGTTGGCTTCTTAGATTAATGCGCAGCGTTGTTCAACATTGGACATTTACCCAACACCTTCTTCGTCAACTCCTGGGATTCATATGAGCTTCATTCATGGTGCCTCGAATTGCTCCACATAACCAGAGTTTAAAGTATCTGGCGACTTACCTATTCATGCTGCACATCTGGAATGGCTCTTCCATCTCTACTTGCTAAGGTTCTAACGATAATCTAGACACCTCTCATAAAACCTCTCTTTCTAATTGGCGGTTTCTCCCCCCTGCCTTTCTCGATTTCCTTCTCGCCATCTTCAGTGTTAACCACATACCGATCTTTATTCTTCTCCGCTTGCCTCTTCTCATGTTCTCCTTTCCACCTCATGAGGTAACAACAGAGAGGAAACAATGCGGTGTTGATAGCCGTCCACGCGAATAAAACCCCTACATTCAGACCTATCCTCGAATGTAAATCGAACAACAGCTGTCGGCTCGCCTCCACCACGTGATGCAGCGGCCAGGCGTAGCCCCATTTGTAGAAGCCGGGCGCCAGGTCCAGGCTGTAGAAGCTGGTGGACACATTGGTGATCACCCAGAATATCAACCACAGGGCCGTCCACGGCTGCCCAACTATCATTGCCACGTTCTCGCATGCCAGCCCCAACCCACACATCCCAACGTAGTTTACCAACCAGTAGACTACAAAAGTAGCCTTGCCGTATGCCGTCGCTCCCTCTGGTGGTGGAGAATAGACGTGGCTAGCGGGCCCGGTCCAGAACGGAATCTGGAATGCAAGCGAGATGACAGAGTAGGCGAGGCTGATAAGACAATATGCAGCAATGGTGGCAAGCCAACGCCAGATGATGAGCTGCCAGAAATGTAGCGGTGGGTGGCCCTGGGGCTGGATGTACTTCATGTGGATGGGGAGAAAAAAGCTAAATGAGAAGAAGGCCATTATGATCAGGTAGATTAGGCCGATGCTGACAGCCGGAGTTGCCGCCGCTGGCTTGAAAGGCCGAAGGTCATAGATGAGAGGCGTTACGCCCGGGTTCAATGCTGCGGGTGCCTTCACCAGACTTTCCCGGGAGATACTTTCATTCGACATGATCATCTGCCCCCACATAGGACCGAACACGGCCCCAAACTCCTCGTTGAATTTCTGCAGGTATGGTAATACGTCGCTCTGCATCGTGGTGGAGTCTCGCGCGGTCTGGATAACAACCTGCACTGCTCCAGTCGGATCATAGGATGAGTTGCCAGTCTCAATGGCTTCTCGCAGAAGGAAAGTAGCGTTAGGATTTATGACGATGGCCGCCCATGCGTCCCACCTATACACCGCCTCGCGCACCTGAAGCGGGTCATTGGCATACTCAGACGCAGGAATGGTAGTGTAGCCCAAGGAAGGCGTGGGGGATTCGAAGAGTTGCTGTGTCAATTTCACAACGGCGGGACCAACAAAAGGCTCTACGCCGTCGTATGGTGCGGCTTTGGCGTCAAAGTCCACGACATGAACGACAATAGAACGTAAGTTTGCCTCGACCCGGAAGAGAACGCCCCAGTACAGTGAAAGGATGGCAAGGATGGCGACCAAAAGGATAATGACTGCAGAGCAAGGGTCAGATTCAAAGCCCAACTTGCCCACCGGTGTCTGTTTCATAGAGAACTTACCAGTACGAAACCAAAGCAATATGACATGGCGGCGGACTTTGCTCATATGGGGATGCCAAAAGCCGACGGAATGGTGAGGCTGCTGGTCTTTGAGCCCAGGACCGTGGGTCTCGTCGCCACCAGTCGCAGTGTCGACATCATCCTTGCGATCCTCAAGCTTCATTGTTCACAAGTTGAACCCTCGTCGTCCACTTCAGCGTTGGTGTTTGTAAAGCGGGCAAAGTCTTCACCTTCCAGGGTTGTGCCAGGTGTCACAGATGCTCCGAGCTTGATGCTGACAACGTGCTTCATGCGAGGCTCGTTTGCGAACGCACTGGGGCATCCATGGCTACATGAGGTTTTTCACGAATATAGAATCGTCATGCATTTCTGATCTCAACGGCCACCGGTGGGCCCGATACGACACTGGTCGAGCAGCTCGGGCGCCAAGAACCAAATTGTCGGCGAAATGATGATGTCACCAACATCTGGCTACTATCCCACGTGCAGCTAATAACCCGCCTCAAGTTCTCTCTAATTTTGGCTACCAGTATGAGTACCTGGGTAGGGTGATCGGCCCGTTTCCAGATGCATTTTCATTCTGGATCGTGAATACATAATGTTCCTCCGTTAGGGTTTTACAACATCTGCATCCTGGGTTGTTTCCCGAATTCCTGCGACTTCCCAGCAAGCACCAACGCCGAACAGTTCATGAGCTACCCTAGGGTAGTGCAGGGAGCCCGGGGTTTCTTCAAACTAGTGCACACCTGGCTGATCTAATCCTCCCAGTAAGATCGTCCCCGTTGGTCCAATTGCAAGGCCCGGGTGTATGCGGCCTGTCTATTGTCATATTTATGCTGGCAGAATTGATTCCGTGAGACCTTCAGCTGTTATTCCGATGTTCCCCACTGGCATGGATGAGCTTTGTAAAGACTTGATTTTACGAATTGACGTGCTCCTCGGCTTGAAACTGAAAGATCGATCACCAAGACCCGGCTTTCAGGAACACGTTGATGTCCAGTGCTGAGGAATGGTCTCTGTGACACCTGCCTGTTCATTCTATCCTCGACGGTTTGCTCATGAATAGCTTTGATTCAAACAGCCCCAGATTTATTCAATACCTAAATTGATTTGCAACTCACGCCAACTATGGCCTCTATCCATGTCTAACTTAACCCTGTGACGTAGAACCGCGGCGTTCTGGTGTCGTCCATGCCATTCACTATGTGACGGGTACTATAAATACTCATCAGATGGTACACTCGCTTTTGCCTGCAGCTGATGTCTCGCGTGTTTAGCGCCGTTACAGCATACCTTCATCACATGGTTGCTGAAGTCCGAGTGACATTAATCACATTCGTCTGAGGTAATATAGCGTGGCCCACAGTTCATACATCGTCCTCTTCATCACATGATATACGGGGCAAGTTGCTATCCCATGGGGTGACTGCTGAAGATCAACTGAGAATACTTATACTCCCTAACTCGTGACATTTAATTCATTTGTTTTATCTTGTTTTCTTTTTTTCTTTGAAGGCGGGGGGGGGGTCAGAGTCTTCCAAGAACCGAGTGGTGTGGAACCTTGAGTAACGAGGGGCAAGCGCAACTTTTCTATTTCTTGATGCACTGCATTCTTCCCCAATTGCCCACCCAGAGTTTCTGTTTGGATTTCTCGTGTCGTGTGTGAACGTAACAAGGGCTCGGAAACCCTCCTCGTAATCTTTCTAAAGCTGGCTGTAGTGATGAACGGGGGCAGCTATGCAAAAGTGGGTGGTGGGTGAGGGACCCATGGACAGGGAATGTTGAGGCATCACCATTATCAAAGCTCTCGATAAGTCCCAAGTTGTTCATTATTATCAAGCTTAAAGGACTCATTAGCACTTCCATATCTAGGATATAGACCCACCGGGATATAATAGAGATACTTTCTACACCCCCCCCTTAGGTAAAGGACATTCTTCTTCCTCTAAATAATTAAATCTATATAATTTTACTTCTATTCTATATATATTTAAGAATATATATAATACTTATATATAGTAATAAATATTTTAAATTTAATATTTAAAAAATATAATATTAATAATAATAATTATAATATAATAAATATTTATAACTTTAATTTTATAATATATAAATAAAATTAAAGAATATTATTTTAATAATAATGTTAATTATAATATTATAAAAGAGTTATATAATAAGATTAATTTTAAAAATAATTATTATATAAATAAATTTAATTAAAGGAAATTTAATTAAAATTTATCCTTTTAAATATATATATATATATATATATTAATAAAATTTTTATTAAATAAATTAATATTATAACCTTTATTTAAAAAGCTAATGTCCACTTACCTAGCAATTATATCCACTTACCTAGTTTTTTTTAACTACTCACCTAGTATAAAAATTTACATATAGAGCCTATATAAAACTATATACCTAACCAGGATTCTCTAAATTTTCAATACTTTTAGTATAAGCCCCTTCTAGCATACCTTCTAGCACACCTTTTAGCACACCTTCTAGCATACCTTCTAGCACACCTTCTAACACACCTTCTAGCATATTTTCTAACATACCTTCTAGGCCTTCTAGCCTATATACATTTAAGTACTAACTAAGTGTTTAAATATTAACTAAATACTAAAAGGCTAGAAGTTTAAAGTACTAAAGGGCTAAAAGGGGTATTAAAAGGCTAGAAAGAGTATAGTCTTTACCTTTACCTTCTTAGCTTCTAGCCTTCTAGTATTTAATTAATATTTAAATACTTAGTTAATATCTAAATATATATAGACTAAATAGTGAAAATAAAGGTAAAGGTAAAGATAAAGGTAAAGGGGTGTTAGAAGGGGTGCTAAAAGGTGTGCTAAAAGGTATACTAAAAGAGGCTTATACTAAAAGTATTAAAAATTAGAGAAGGAAATTATACTATAAGGTCTTTTAGTACTAACTTAAAAGGTATTTATAAATATAAGGGAGTTATTTAGAAAAATTAATATTAAGTAAGTGGTTAATAGGAATTAAATAAGTAGATATAATTATTAGGTGAGTAGATATTAGCTTTTATTTAAATATATAATTATTAATTTTAAAAATTTAAAATAAAGAAATAATTTATAATATATTACTTTTAAAACTTTTATAATAAAGTATTAAAACTTTTAAAAAAAGTTTTAAAAATAATTTATAAAAAAAATAAAAAAAGAGTATAATAAACTTATACTCCTTTAAATTTATACTTTTATTATTAATAATTATTAATTTCTTAATAATATAAAAAAGTATAATAAAAATAAAAAAAAAGAAATTTAAAGTTTCTTTATAAAAAAATTATAAAGATATATATAAAGTTATTAAAAACTTTATATATAAACTTTAAATTATTAGAGAAGAAATAAGTGGTTAAATTAAAAGATAGTTATATAGTATAAAGGAAAAATATAGTGTGGTTGAAGCTAATTGAATTTATGTAAGCGAGATGTGTAGAGGATGCTTTAAGCTACTACCCTGGGCAGGGCGGCGGTATCAGTGTAAACAATCCTTAGATTTTGCTGCACTGCCCATCTTTATGGATTCTCTTAACTCTGTGCTCACCCCAGAATCTATACCGAGGGACCTGTGGGTGTTCAGACTGATTCAAGGCCTCTCGTGACAATCTCCAACATTTGACCCAAATCTTTGGTTCGTCAATTAGCGCGAGCTGCAGGTGCATCCGGAGTCGGACATATTCTGCACTGTTATCCGCACGGGCTCGAGTACCACTTCAGTACTACGTCATCAGAATGGGGTCCCCGCATGGCTAGCAGCTCTCCCCAGGCCCAATGTTGCCCGTCTCCATTCCCCCGCGATATCTCATTGAGGCGCTTGACACTGACAACCAGAAAAAGAAGATTGGGAATCAGCGTGAACAATACTAAGCCCACAGCACGGGCGCACGCTGTAATTATCAGCCACTCAAAAGCATGCCCACAACTTGAAAGTGGCATGTCCACCCGGATTCCGTGTCCACGGGAGTCCGATGAAGCGCCGAACACTGCGGACGGTGCCGGCACCCGCGAAAACCAGTGATTAAATTCACGCCATGCAGTTCCCTACTCCAGCATGTTTGACTTCTTCTCATGTTGAAATCATTCGAGAGAAGTACATGACCACAGCAGTCCAGGAATAGGTCCATCCCTGCGCAGTCGTCCAACTCCTTACAAAATTGTTGCTGTAATCCGTATCTCCGTGGAACTTATACACCAGAGGGTTGTGCTCAGCATTATGGGCGAGTTGGAAAGGCTCAAGGGCTTTAATGTGGCCAACCACTTCGAGAAGCGGAAGCTTCTCATCGCAATTAACAGCATTGCCGCACTGAGCATCTTTTTCTTTGGCTACGATCAGGGCATGATGGGAGGCGTCAACACCGCAAAAGACTATATCGAATTGATGGGATTTGGGTACAAAGAAAATGGTGTGGTCGTTATAACCGACAGCCTTCTTCAAGGTAACGTCCGGGAGCCCTTCTCCAGGCACAACTCCCAACCTAGAAGGTACGTAGCCTCATATACTGATTCTTCGTAGGCGGCATTGTTTCTGTCTACTATCTTGGCACCTTATTTGGGTGCCTGATAGGTGGCTGGGTCGGCGACAAGGCCGGGAGAATTAAAACCATTGCCTTCGGCGCCTCGTGGGCCATTGTCGGTGCTGTCCTGCAATGCTCGGCTCAGAACCACGACTGGATGATATGCGGTAAGCACGGCTGCTCGGTTCCAAGGTTGGGTTCACACCATTGCAAACGGACTCTGACAATGGGACGCATAAGCGAGAGCTGTCAATGGGATTGGTACCGGCATTCTCAATGCAATTGTGCCTGTCTGGGCAACAGAAACGGCAGAGCATACGTCCCGTGGCCAGTTCATCGCGATCGAGTTTACGTAAGTTTTCAAGAGCCCACATCATGTTCGCGTCCGGCGGGAACACCAGGCTGCCACATGGCTAGAAATAATCATACTGGTCCTGCGATTGTCTGGCACCGTGTGGCAAGGTGCAAAGGCGCGGCTATTTTTTCTGACTCCAGCAACTTATAGTCTAAACATTTTCGGTGTGGTTGTGGCTTATTGGCTGGAGTTTGGTCTCTCGTTTGTGGATAGTGGAAATTCCGCGATCGCATGGCGCTTTCCCATCGCTTTTCAGATCATTCCGTTGCTCGTACTACTCGGCGCAGTCTGGTTCTTCCCAGAGTCTCCTCGGTGGCTTGCAAAGGTCGGGCGCGACGAAGAAGCTCGTTTCATCCTGCGTCGTCTGCGCGGCACCGATGCTGTAGGGGAATCGAAGGCAATCGCCGAATACCAGGATATCCGCAATATTGTCGCTTTGGAAGCCAAGGAATCCTCCAACAACTCATACCTGCACATGCTCTTTGGCATCGGCTCGGGAGAGTTACACACTGGCAGGCGGGTACAGCTCGTGATCTGGCTGCAGGTCATCCAGGTATGTCCCCACGGTCATTGACGTCTAGTCCATCCGCTCGACTTCTCGAGTTTGCTAGGCTCACAGGTGGATCAGGAATGGGTTGGTATTGCAGGCGTGACCGTATATGCGCCGACGATCTTCGGTATCGCGGGATATGACTCCACAAAGAGCGCGTGGATCAGCGGCTTGAACAACATCTTTTATATGTTTGCAACGCTCATCTGCGTCTTTACTCTCGACCGCATCGGGAGACGCTGGACTCTTTACTGGGGTGCAGTCGGTCAAGGCATTGCGATGTTCCTGGCTGGTGGATTTTCCCGGCTTGGGCAGGACGCAAGCAACGCGGGAAATGTGGAGAAAGCTGCATCCTACGGAGCGGCGGCCGCATCCTTTGTTTTCATCTTTACGTCTGTTTTTGGGGCAACGTGGCTCACAGTACCATGGCTGTACCCGGCAGAGATATTCCCATTGCAGGTGCGGGCCAAAGGAAATGCGTGGGGGGTAGTCGGATGGTCTATCGGCAATGGCTGGTTGACATTATTGTGCCCGGTCATGTTCAATGCCATTGGCGAAAGAACGGTGAGTCTTTCCTATTGGCCACAACTACAAACACCAGACACATTTTTTCTGGCTTCAATAAGTAGACAGAAGCATATTACTAATTCACAGTCTCACAGTTATACATTTTCGGGGCCTGCAATGTTGCCGCCATCCCCATCGTGTGGGCGCTATATCCCGAAAGCAACCAAAGGACATTAGAGGAAATGGATCTCTTATTTGCAGCTCCGACACCAGTAAGTGCTTTCGGCCAATTTCCCCACCCTCCTTTTGGGGGACACCCGCATTGCCATAGGATATTTGCATGTTTGATACCGGCGCTAGAGGCCCCCGCCCCTCCGGGCCTACTATCTCGTTGCTTCCATCTTTTCTGCGATTAATTAGGCCCACCGGTGCTCAGTGCTGACTATTGGTGCCGTAGTGGGTTTGGGACGCTGAGAAAACATTCAAAAGGCTCAAGGCTGAACGGCCTGAGCTTCAGGTTCTGGGAAAACATTAACATGCCGAGTTGTTGTTGCTAAATGGGGGCATTACTACGGAGACTCATCAATCAATCAATCAGCCAAACAGACTGACAGTGTGATTCTCATGGGAAATGATAATCTCAACTCCAGAAGCTATTTTTCAAAGACTACAAAGTCTAATCTATTAAAGTAGCAGGTCACTAGTGATTGACTACTAAGACTTGGGATCAGGGCAACGCATGTGCAGTCAGAGCCAATGGAAACTTCTTCAATCCAAATACGCGGCATGAACCACCCACATCAACTCCTTCCACGACACCTACAGACCACGGACTGCATGGCGTAGATGGTCTTGAATACTTCAAAGATCCAGGAGTTGCATTTGAGGGGTCGATGCCAACAGTGTTCCGTCGGTTGCGCTCTGCAACGTGCGCCGCGCGGATTATTCCAGGGGTAATGAGCTTCATGGGTTCGATTTGGACAAATATACCCGCCTTATATTGCTCATTGCTTAGATTAACCGAATCAGGGCCTCACATGCTTAGGAAACACTACAATCGAGCCTGCAAATGACGAGGTGCTTCAATTTCTGGAAGCGGGCTCACGTATCAGTGTTATGATTTCGAGGCGCTCAAGCATTTTGCGGAGCATAGAAGGGTTTTCAACGCCAGTGGACTTCTGGTCTTTGGACTTGGCCATGAGCAAGGCGACCTCGTGAATGTGGAAAGAATTGATTTTTTTTCCTGATCTCTTCTAGCAGAGCGTATCTGATTGTCACTTTCAAAGATGCATAAATACCTAGGTACTAATCTTTGTACGACGGCGATTTGCCAAATGATTTGACAGTCCACCGCAGTTGATTTGCATCGAACCATTCATGCATGTAAAACGCGCCGGACGGCCAGGCATCCTGTTGTAACCATTTGGTGGATACCTAGGTACCTAGGTACCTACCTAGGTAGCTAGCGGAGCCGTTGGAAGACACACCTGCAGTGGACAGCAAGAAAAACTCTAGGTGCAGTCTTAGCACCTATCTCTCGCAGGTGCTGAAAATGGGTCATCAACGCCAAGATGCTGCGAGGCAAATTGGTGGTCAGCGATCCAGAGATATAAGATCCATTCGCAACGGAGCAACCGGCGATCCATGCAAGTAATACTGCTGTGAAATGCTATGAAACGCGTAATAAACCATCAGCAACTACTGCACGGCGCACTACTTCTGGGAAACACACTATTCTTTAATGGTACGGTAACCTAGTCTGGGAAGAACTGTGCCAACAGACACAAAAATGGCCCCAGAGTTGTGATAGGGTATCTTTGTGTGTGTGTGTGTGTGCGCGCGTGGATCCAAGTCACACAAGGGGAAGAGCTTGAACAACCAACGCCGTCATCCCCCTCTCTCCCTACCTAGGTATCTTACTTTTCACATACAGCGGGGAGCCATCAATATCAAGCTCGACTCGCGTCATCTTGGTGTCCAGCTCCGAGCCTCAAACAGTTGCCACAATCACGTTGCCACAATCACGTTGCCACAATCACGTTGCCACAAATACAGTCATGGCCAGAACCGCCCAAATGGGCCTACTTGGTGTCGGGGCCGTTCTCTTGGGACTAGTCGCCATGTCACTGGGGCCCGCGCAAAACCTCTTCTTCACTTTTGCCCTTTACCTCCCCTCGAGTCTCGTGCCAGCACCAGTCGTCACAGACTCGAGCCTGGACGTCACATATGTCGGTACTTGGTCCGCTGACTTTGCGGTGGAACACTTCCATGGCATCTTCTACGCCAAAGACACCTCCGGCCCAAATCGCTTCGCCCCGCCAGTGCCCTTTGTCCCGACCCCAGGCTCTGTCATCGATGCCACGGCCCCAGGAGCATGGTGCCCTCAAGGCACCGGCGACGTGCTGCCTTTCACTTCGCGTGTAACAAACACCAGTGAAAAATGCCTCAGTCTCCGCATAGCTAGACTTCGCGGCACAACGTCCACTGCAAGGCTACCTGTTGTAGTATGGATCCACGGTGGTGGGCACGCGCTGGGTTCGGGGGAGGAGATCCTGTACGAACCCGATGGCCTCCTTCACCAGGCGGGCTTAGACGGCCAGCCTCTTATATTTGTGGCGATCAACTACCGACTTGGCTTCTTCGGCTTCGCGACGAGCCAAGCTATGATCAAAGCCGGGCAGACAAATGCCGGGCTCCGGGACCAGCGGGCAGCGCTCGAGTGGGTGCGTGATCACATCCACAGCTTTGGCGGTGATCCTGCACGAGTGACAGTTATTGGCCAGAGTGTAGGCGGAAGCGACATCGGCTTGCAGATGACTGCATTCGGCGGTGCTGATGGCGTGCCGTTCCAAAAGGCCGTTATGATGTCCGGCGCGCCAGGGCTGAATTTTAACACCATGTCGAGCCTTGTGGCAGACAATACAGCCATGATCGCACAGCAGGTGGGGTGCATCGAGGACGGACAAGATTCCCAGACAGCTGCCGTCATGTCATGTCTGCGAGAAGCTCCCTTCGACGTCCTGACGAATCTCTCCATCACTGCGATGCGATCGGCGAGACCTCCGTTCGGCGAGGGCTTCTTTTCCCCTACACATGACGGAGACTTTATCCGAGATCGCCCTTCCAATCTCATCCGGGATGGAAAGGTTGTCAAATATATTCCCACCATCGCTGCGTGGGTGACCAACGATGGAGCTTGGTACGCACCGCCAACGACTGCAACAGACGACGATGTAGTCAACAGCTTTACCCTGTGGCTCACGCTGTCCCAGTCCACCATCAAGAAGCTCTTGGAGCTATATCCCATATCTGACTTTGAATATATTTCTCAAGGGCAAGGAGTTTCTCCACAGTACTACCGTGCTGCGCAGATCAACCGTGACCTCTGGTTTACGTGCCCTGTGCTGGACTTTGCGTGGCAGTATGGTCGGCATAACGGCAACAACATACGCCTCTATGAGCATAATGCGACACGATTTGCCCCATCTTATGCTCTTATGGGAGTTCCCATGTGGAAGGTCGCTCATCTAAGTGACATACCATATGTACTGAACAGCCAAAGCCTCGGCGGAGGTGCCGATAACTCGGCGGATGAGCTAGCACTGTCGGTAGCCGTCAGCAGGAAGATCATTGAATTCATCACTTCAGAAGCACCTGAAATGGAATGGTCCCCAGCGTTCTCGGGGACAGGCGAGGATAAAGTCCGGGACAAGTTACCGAGCGAGATCTCCATGCAGCTGTTCGGCGGTCCATATGGGAACAGACAGGTGACCGTTCGGGAGCATCCAGGGGAGGGCGATGATTCAGGGACAGGGGCTGAAAGAGCAATCGCATGGGAAAAGCTGTTTCAGAGGTGCAATTTCATCAACAGCGCTGAAGTGCGGAGTGAGACATCTGTTTAAATAGGGTCCCATTCAGGATATTATGACCCTGCGCGGGTGACCACCACAGCTCACAGCGGAGGTAAAGAGTAAATGAGTCAGATAGAACATGTCGCCAGAAAATATATAAAAGACTAGGATGAATTCTGAAGGCTTTACTCTCCACCACAAAAGGTTATCAGTGAGCAAGTTGGTATCAGGCCGGCTTCGACAAGGAGCAAAAGAATTGCGAGCACTATGCATGTCAAAAACACACCATCACTCGGTTCCCATGATTTTTAGAGGACGAAGGCTGCATCATTATTAAACACGGCTTTTATTTATTATCATTATGTGGTTGTTGTAAAACACCATGAGGACTATTGTCGAATTGTGTCGCCTGCGTGCCCTCCCACCGTCGCCTTCAACGTGGGCCCATTCCCACCCGGGCAGTATGATATCCTGTGTGCGTCTTCCAGAGCTCGGTTCACTGCCCATCGTGCCACAATTATGATTGGAGCTGCCCAGCGTTTCATGCCAATTGTCCCCGGACAGCTCCGGGGACTGCCAGACTGGAATGAACATCGGCAAAGAATCCCGAAGGATTCTTTTCGATACTTGCCACCTTGAAACCAGCACCGGTGTCTACTCCATTGGCGAGGACTCCGGTCTTGAAGGGGCCAGTCAGGCAGCCGACACTATTCCTGACCTCTTGGTTACCGGCCACAGGCTGTGGGTTGGGGAATGCGATCCTGGGTGGCCCGGAAGCACCGCGAGCAGCCTCGTGGATATGGGTTGCTGTGGCCGCTGGTGACTGATACTCTCCGCGAAATCCGTAGAGAGTGATGTTGTAGCAAATGGTATCAGTTTGCGAGTTTATACCAAAGTTGTATGTCCCGGAAGCGCCAGGCAGACCCCCGGTCGGTGTTGTGCCGTTCACAACCTGGTCGGGGGTAGCTTTGACGGCTTGTGTGGAGCTGAACTGGAAGACTTGGTCGCCTCCGGCGTCGAGGGGCTCAATGGTTATGCGCAAGGCGCTGCCGTCCGCACGAAGGAGGTCGGCAACGCTCGGTCCCGCGCTGCGCACCGTAGGTGCCGCAATTGTGGCATACGCGGCGGCGATAATAGCGAGTATGGCGGATGTCTGCATCTTGAAGAGTGACGTGTCCTTAGCAGTAACGGCTACAAGCAATATGAATAATGTAAAGCTTTTACAGCCAACTTGCTTTCGGTTTCTGCAAGGAAAGTTTCCAATAGACACTCAACCAAAGCTGGGACGGGGAGTAGATGACTCGAAGTGAGACAATGGTTGTTATATACACAATTCTCAGGTGCTTGACTCGGCGCTGATCACTGCATTCGTCCCGTTGCAGAACAATCGCTTTATCACATGAAAGTTTTGCGTACCGGGAAAAGGGCTCAGCCAACCTGGAAGTCGCCTGCTCACTCCCTAGCTGAATGCAAGCGTGCCTTGGAAGCACTTTGACCAGCTTCAATTGTGCTTTGGCAAGCTCGGGGCGGCAAGCTGCAGCTTGTATTGGGCGTACCGAATCGTCTTGGGAGCTGGCGCCTGAGCTCGGGGAAAGCACATGCCGCCGTTCTATTTAGCTTGGCGACCGTCTTGAGCCCAAGCGCATATTCTAAGGTCCTCAGCATTGCGAGTCGCTCGTGTAGATCACCCATTTTGACATCATTGATTCGGCACTTGTAGCATTCAATATGGTGAATGCTTTGTCTCAATTCCCGATTGAGACACCTTGGTATCAACTTTGCGGTCTTGGAGCGTCCGGAAGTTATGGAAAGCAAGATGCAAAATAGGATTAGCTCGACTGGGCACAGCCCGAAAACATCAACCACCTGCACTAGTCCTCCTTGTTCACCACTGGCACGGTGTTGTGGGTGAACAACATCGTATTCAGGCCTTGGCGCCATAGTCAATCATCCCAGTATGCTGCCACTTGCCTAAGCAGACCGCCATGCTTCAGCTTGATTCACTCGCTTCCAAGTGCCCATCGTCAAATTGATCTGCGCGGCCATAGGCCGCGTGGCGATTAGCAGGAACTGATTCGCAGGGCAGCTTCAACCTGTGATTCTGTGCATAATTGGTATACTTCAATTGTTTGGGATTTGAGTAACAAATGAATTGATCATGAGTGGGCCTGCGTAGAAGGAAAATGGATTTCCGAAGTGGGCATGTTAATTAATTTGTCTCGCTTCTATTCTGTATAGGCCCGAAGACATACAGTGGTAAACGCTCAAGATGCGACCGCTCTCAAATGTGTGAAATTCTAGTGCAGACGAGATACACACGTCTTGACAGCTCATAGATAACTGCATCGTCACTCCTTTTCCAGGCCCCTCGTGACTGAGCTTCCGAGGTCATCACACTCATGCGAAGCAATGACGGGGCCTGTTCAGGCTCTGAAATGGGTTGCAATAAATAGTTGTGCTTCTTTCGGATCTGGCAGCCAGGTGTCAGCAACACGACAGGTTCAAGTCTAGCAAGTTTGATATGCATTTAAAATTACAAACGAAGCCCACGAGCATCCTGTGGACATTTATTACCATGAAGATCTTAATGATTGTGACACCGTGATATTACTTCTTATAGTCCATTAAAAGGAAAACGGATATTCGCAGGGTAAAAAGCAGATAGTATAGAGCAACTTTTTAATTTTTTTAATTTTTATAAGTAATATATATGAATATTAATTATTTAAAAATATTTTACTACTTACTATTATTTAATTAATATTATATATTAAGGATAGGGTTATTAAAAATTATGGTTATATTTTTAAATTTTATTTTAATAAAATAATATTTATTTTTATAATATTTTATAATTATATTAATATAAGAGCTGGAATTTTAAAAATAATACCTTTAAATAGCTTATTTTTTCTCTATTTAATACAATATTTTTTACTACTTAAGATTAAATCTCTTTTAATGTTATAATATAAAGTTTTATTTTTAGAAAAAAGTTACCCTATACTATCTATTTCTTACCTTATACTATCCGTTTTTTACCTTATAAATATCCGTTTTTATTAAAAGGAATTAATATTATTATATAGTAGTGGAAATAAAGGATAGTTACTATAATTATATCTATCGATTTAACTATTATCTTTTAAAACTAACTTTAAGAAAATTTAAATTAAATGATAAAAATATAATATAAATAATCTTTTAACTATTTAATAATTTCTATATAATTAAATAGATTTATAAAAAGGGTTAATAAAAGATAAAAAGGTTATAAAGAAACCTTTATACCTTTCTTTATATAAAAAAAGAAGGAATACTTCTTCTTTCCTTCCTTTTTTCCTTCTTTTTAATACTAATATTAACTCTTTTATCTTCCTTTTAAATTAATTAAAATGAATTATATTTAGAAATTAAAAGTAAAATTATAAAAGTAGAAGTAAAATTATTAAAATATTTAAATTAAAAGAGATTTAATAAAAAAGAAAAAGAATCTCTTTTAATTAATTAATATATTTAAATAAAAAGCTTATTTTTAAAGATTTTAAAGAAAGTAATTTAATAGAAAGAAACGTTTTAAATAAATTTATTTTTAATTTTATAACTCTTTTTTTAAATAATTATTTCTAATCTTTAAAGTTTATTTAAATTCTTAAAGATTTTATATACTTTTAATTATATATATTATCTTAACTATTAAATTAAAATAAATATTTTAATAATAGTTTTAAGTAAAAAGAAAAAGCTTTAAAGTAAATAAATAACTTAGAAGCTTTTAATCTTTATACTAACCCTCTTTAATACACATTAAAGCGCGGTATAATAGAGTTAATATTGTTACTACTCTGTCGAAAACCGATATTACTACTAGTAGTATTAAGAATAAGGATCTAAAGTGACAACAGAATTTAAAGCTCTGCAACTAGCCGAAAAGAGGTATTAAGAAAAACCTAGTTTAAGAGGGAGCGAATGAATTTATGTGGCACGTGCGTATATGCGAATTTAGCCAGGGGGGGGGCATTACTTCGCTTGTCACAGACAGCACACCAGGACGGTGCTTGCTTTCCGATAGATGTGAAACATGTTGGGGACCTGGCGTTCTTTTTCGGCATTATCGTACTGATTTATACACAACGCATCGATCCAGCTGCCTTAATTAGCAACTGGACTTGGTAAACAGAAGGGAAAGGACTTTGAGTAGGTAATCAGTTGGTTTCACCAGGCGGTCAACCTGAATTTTTAACCTACAGCCAGCGATGGGCATGAGAGGTGCGCAGGTGTACAAGCGCCGCATGCAGATTGGCCGTGACGCTGAAGTCGAGGCCGTTGCATCGGATGGCATGGCTGAAGACGTTTGAGTCCCAAGTGTATGAGAGCGCCTCGTAGCAAACCACCTCGCCGGTTTCCACAAGGCCCAGGCCCTCTAGATGCGATATGGCTGCGGTTTGCAGGTGCAACTCCACGGTGCCTCCTTCGTCGTAGTCGGCCTGAGCAGGCTCCAGGCTCAGGATCCGGGTTTCCCAAGGCTTGAGGCGCTCGCTGTAGATACTGGAGGCCATCAGACGCCGCTGCAACTCGGAGATGCACGTGAAAGACATGTCGCCACTTTGAGAACTCAGCGAGACCTGCTCTGTGGTGAACAACAGCGGGCGGTCAATGGCTCAGACTTGAATGATCTGTGAAGGCGACGTCTCAAGCTAATGGCGCCGCTGCAAGTTGAGAGAATCAAGTGGGCTGCTGACTTCTCCATGTGCCATCGTCGGAACCAACCAGGGCCCGCAAAAAAAGCGGCGCAGCGGCGAGATTCCACTTAAAGCCGATGTTGGTCAAACACCTACATGCTTGTTGGTGGCTAACTTCACTGCTGCAGCGACGTTGCAGAACTGGTCCTTTTCAAAATTCGCTTTATAATTTACCGATCTCTTCCGACTTTCGCATATACTATTGCCGTATTACCGCCACACCTTCAGAAACGACATAACTTCATAGCGGAGTCCTGTGGTTGAAATACAAGGTATATATGTGACAAATCTTTCTGGATTCCCCTATAGACCATTTTTCGGTATAGGAGTCTCCCATCAGCGAATCACCCATGGGAGGTCAACTTATAGGAAGTTGGTGCTGGGACAAGGGGTCTTAGATATCGTGGCCGTGTAGCGGACACCCGAGCGTCGTTTACATTACCTAGATACCATCACTTACTCGTGCCGATTTGTGGCAGACTTCAGTCAAATACAAAGGTTTCAGCTTTTCTTCTGTCAAAAGCGTCACAAATACAATAATCATTGCCCTTAAATACAGTCCCATTGCCCCTATGGTCAAATATGAACCTCGGGGGGTCCGAGCTGCCCCGGTGACACACCTCATAGGCCTGACCCTCATCTGCCTATCAGTCACCTACAGGCGAGAGCGGTGCCGACTACATGCAGCTCGATGTTCCTGGCGTTGGCTAGCGCGGTTGCTCGACTACTACATACCCAGCTTCGTCTGTTTCTGTATCCCGATGGTGCCGTCAGCAACAGGTTGGGGACCACCTTCGTCAAGTTGGCGGAGCGTAGCACTCTGCTTCCGCCATTTCTCATTCAGCTGATCCCTCAGGGTGTACGATTGTTTCTTCGCGTGGTCTTGTGCATTTCTGAGCCATTTTATGCCGTCTTTGAGCCCTTGGCGGGATTCCATCAGGTTCGTCGTCTTGACCTGATATTGGTGATATTCAAGTGTGCCGTCCCCGGCCGCCGATGGAGCAGCATAGTGTGCGAATAAGTTGAGATTGGTGCCGTCTGTAGTGAATGTGGCAACCTCGGCATGACCAGGAGGATCAGATGCACCCATATAGGCGAGGCCCTGATTCCGGGCATAGACAAGGGCAGCTCCATCATAGACACTCTGTTGCCTCGCTGCCTGCATATTCTTTCCAGGTCCCTTCCATTCCCCAGCAATATGCGGCAATACTAAAGAACGTGGATTGTCTTGATAAATGACAGCCCCTTTAATATGCTCGTCAATCGGAAACGGACGGTATGCTGGCATTTCCAGCCCTTCAATAAAGTCGGGCTGCGGTGCAGAGAAGCCACTATTGAAGCAAGCATCTTCTGGAAAATTGGTGAATGACTGGTCGAATACCCGAGGATAGCCCTCCCTCGGATACCTATTTAGTAGTTTCCCACCAACCTCGAAGAGCATAGTAGCTTTATTAGGAGCTCTTTGAACTACATCAATATAGTCCTCGTACATCGACTCAGTTGGTGAGGCTGTGCCGCGAGACTCGGCATATCGTGTGCGGATATCATCGATGTTTGTGGGGGGCTTGGAACTGAGAGGGTCAAGGATGCCATTCTTGTAGGCTTTCATAGCGAAACCAGACAACGTCGTAGATTTCGTCGATGTCGACTTGGCTGTGGATTCAAGTGGAATAGACACTGGGGCCTTATTAGCCCCCTTCTTTCTTGCCATCTCGTTGAACTGCGCCAAGTTCTTACGCGTCAATTCTACCCGCTGAAACTGGTGTCCGTTGTTGCTACCGCCGCCGTTGATCGGCCGTTTGTACAATTGTGTGGATGGAAAGGCTCGCCTCTGTTCCTCTAATTGAACTTCCTGAAGTGTCGTTGATGGTCGCTTGAGACGGGGTGGCTGCTACTGCTCAGTCTAAACAAGCCGAAATCCGCAACATACAGCACCAGACTTGTTCATACCTCAATATTCCTTGTCTGTCTGAAATTAGCTCCCTGTTGCGTGTTTCTCCTCCTTAACCCAGGCCGCTGCGACAATGACGTTACGGGGTCTGCCTCGATCTGTCCTGTTGATAGAGTTCTCGAAGGGCGAATGGATGCCGCACTGCCAGGTGGCTGCTGTTCTTGAAGTCTGGCACTCCGCCTTGGCAGTTCTGTATAGTGCTTTAGCTTCTTTGCACATATGTCAAGTACAATAGAATCCGTACGTCTTTGGGTTTCTATCTGCGTCTGTCGTGCTCTCTTTGCATCTTCCGTCGAAACCAGGCAGAGTGGTTGTTTGATCTTCTTCGTAATAGTCACGTTTCGCACAAGACCTCCATCCACTTGTGAAAGATCTCTATGGCGCTTTGGAAGCTCTATATGATGGATTAGCGCGAGATCTATTCCATTCGCGACGCCGCAGATCTTCGTACTCACCTGGAGTGCTTCTTGTTGTTAATTCCGGCCGCTTCTCTTGTAGCCGACAGCAACGAGCTCTCGGCTTCGAAGGTCCTCTTGTCATGACGGTAAACGTGATGAACGAAAAGAGATGGAAGTTTAAATCAATACTCAGACTTGCAGACCGTCTTTGAGGTGGCATTCCAGCCTGGCCTGTTTCGAGCCAGCGCATCGAAAAGTGGGAGCGACGGAGGCTGAAAGTTTCCGAACATCGCCTTCAAAGAATGCCACATGTATTACAAAGGGGCCAACTTGGTCGAAGCGGCGAGCTCCGGCGCACAGAGGTCCAGTCCAACCTTTGTTCTCAAAATTTGCAAAGACGTGTTTTCGTCACAAAGACAGGTTGCCATCACAAAGACCTGAAGCGAGGCGAACCAAAGACGGCTTTTGTTTAGAGCTTCAGCGCCTCACTTAAGCAGTGTCAGTTGTAATATGGCACGTGGGCTGTGCGAATAGGGAGTGTGTTTGAGCAGACCGACCATTGCGACAGCGCTTAGCATCATTTCTCCGTCTAAGCTTCCAGCACAGCAATACTGGCAATTATACAAGGCCCTTAGATGCCAACCTCTTCCGCCTTCTCCACACACAGTCGCGCTGACAGAAAAGAAAACCATACCCGGCATCAGCTGTTCTTACACACACATCATGAATACACAGCAACCATTGTGAAGGGCCAAATAGTGCTTCTGCCTCGGGCTGGTATTGCCGGCAATATAATTTGTCATCTCTCCAGTCAACATGATTCTCCTCGCATCATAAAAATTGCAAAGCTTCTAGGTCTACTGAATTAAATAGTGCACCAGGCAATCTGCCCAGCCCTATGGCGGACCATACACCCATTCTGAGAACCTGTGTAGAGCTACCTTGAGCCGCTTAGTATGTGCAAGGAATTGTGCTATCTTCATCACATCCTAATTTATAATGGTTTTAGTATTGTGACAACTTTATTTTCTAATCAAACTCTTAGTGAGAATAATAGAAGGGAAAAGGCTAATATCTAAGTGAGACGGATATATATATACTTAACTAATCCTATTTTAATAAGGAGTCTATAAAAAAGAAATTTTTTAATTAAGTAAGGGTAAGTAAAGGAATAAAAGTAATATAATTATAAAGAAATTATCCTTATCTACCTCTTTAAATATTTATTTAATAGTAAGCTCTTTAATAAATAAACTTTATAATCGAGATATATTTAAATACTTTATAATTTAATTTAATTAACTTAACTTTAAAGATATTAAAGAATATTATTAATATAATTAGTAATAACTCCTTTATTATTATTAAGATTATTAAAGTTAATATTATTAAAGTTATATTTATAAAAGTTAATAAATAAATTTAAAGTTTTATTTATTACTTTAACTTTTAAAGTTAGCTTTATAATATTAAATATCTTTAATAACTATAAAAGTAATATTAACTTAAAGTTTTCTTTTATTAATATCTTCTTTATTAAAGTATATATTAAGATTTTAAAGGGTTATATATACTTAATTAAAATTAATACACTTAGAGAAACTAAGGTAATTAAAGTATAATTTTAAAAACTATTTACTTTTATTATACTTTTAACTTTATAAAAAATTAAATAATAAAGTAAAAATAAAGTATATATTTATTTTATATAATAACTTTAAAAATATTATACTTATTAATATTAAATTTAATTACTTTATAAATAATAATATTATTTAATTAATATTATTAATAATATTATTTATAAAATATATAAAGTTTTATTTTTTAAATAAAATTTTAAAGGTATTAATTTAAATATTTATAATTTAAAATTTTATTATAAATTAAAATATTTTATTAATATAATTAAAATACTTATATTTATAATAATATTATTAAATAAAACTTTAATATTTTTATTAATAAATATAAATAGAATAATTATTATAAAAAAGAGATAGTAACTAATAAATTAAGAATAATAACTTTAAAAAGTATTATAAAAGATTTAAAAGTTATAAAAGAAGTTATTATATTATTTAATAATTAATTTATTAATAAATTCATACTTTAAGAAATTACTTTTAATAAATTATAAAGGTTTTTAAATATCTTTTTTATTATTATTTATAAAGCTAATATCTACTTATTTAATAATTATATCTACTTATTTAATTCTTATTAATTACTTATTTAATATTAATGTTTCTAAATAACTCTCTTATATTTATAAGTACCTTTTAAATTAATATTAAAAGACTTTATAATATAATTTCTTTCTTTAATTTTAATACTTTTAATATAAACCCCTTTTAATATACCTTCTAATACACCTTTTAACACACCTTTTAACCTATATATATTTAAATATTAACTAAGTATTTAAATATTAACTAAATATTAAAAGGTTAGAAGTTTAAAGGGTTAAAAGGTTAAAAAGAGGATTAAAAAGTTAGAAAGTATATAATCTTTACCTTTACCTTTTTAACTTTTAACCCTTTAACATTTAATTAATATTTAAATATTTAATTAATATCTAAATATATATAGGTTGGAAGGTTTAAAAGGTATACTAAAAGGTGTATTAAAAAGAGTGTTAGAAGGTATATTAGAAGGGGTTTATATTAAAAGTATTAAAAATTTAAAGAATTCTAATTAGATATATAGTTTTATATAAGCTTTATATATAAATTCTTATACTAAGTGAGTGGTTAAAAAAAATTAGGTAAGTAAATATAATTATTAAATAAGTAGATATTAGCTTATAATTTTAACTTTTAATAAATTAATAATATTAATTTAAATTAACTAAATATAATTTGATTTATTAATATAAAAGATATTTTTAATAATAAATAGTATTATAAATAATTATAAAGTTAATATAAAAGTTTTATATAATAAATTTAATTAAATTAATTTTTAAAAATATAAAAATATATTATATTTTATTTCTTTAAAATTTTAACTATTTATTTTTAATTTAATAATATAATTAAAAATATAAATAATTTATAAATAAAAATTATATTATATATAAAGTTAATATAATAATAATAATAATAATAATAATAAAACTTTATTTAATATATTAACTTTAAAAATAAGTATTTATTATATTAAATTTAAAAATATTATAAATCTTTTTTAATTATACTTTAAATAATAACTTTAAATTATTCTAATTAACTTTAATAGTTTAATTATACTTCTTTTATAAAGAAATAATTATTAAATAAAGAAAGTTAAAAATAATTTAACTTAACTTTTATTTTAATTAATTATAGTTTTTAAAATTATAATTATTATACTTAAATACTTTGTATAATCTATTATTTAAACTTAATATAAATTATATTAATATTTAATAATTTAATTAATTAATTATTATATAAAATATATTATTTATTAAAAGTAATATATTTAATAAAAACTTTTAAATTTATTATTATATTATTTTAAAAGTTTAATTAATTTTAATATAATAATATAAAAATAAATTTAATAAAAACTTTTAAAAAATAATATATAAAAAAGTTATTTAAATTTAATAATTTTAAAAGTTATAAGTATTTTTAATTAATTATATATATAGTATATAATTAATTAATATATAATAAATTATTATTTCTTTAAAATAAATATTTATTAAATTTTTAATTTTAATTTAATTATATATATAATTTATTTTAACTAATTATATATTTATATTTTTTTATTACTTTTTAATATTTTATTTTATATTTTTATAATTTAAAAATTTAATTACTTAATATATTATATTATTTAAATATTAATACTTAATATATTAATTTATTAAAATAATATCTCTTAATATAAATATATATTAATAATTAAGAAATCTTTAAAGGTTATTATAACTAACTATTATAAAGTAATTTATATTTATATATTAATGCTAGCTGTTAGTAGAGGCTACACTAGAGTAGTTTCACTGTAAGAAGTGAACCCTTTGAACTCTGAAAGGTTTAGTACTAGCTTGGAACATCCTCCCGGTCTGGGGAATCACTTTCATCAGGCCGTGCTTCATACTGTGTCAGACCTTTGGAACCATTCAATGTCGTATCATGGATTTGAGGTTTGAGGCCGGTCGACAGTAGACCTCAAGATCTTACGTATTGCTTGCTTGAGGATGCTGAGCTTCATAGAAAGATGAAGAAGGAAGACATTTCGCTATCCTGGCACAATCTGAAGCTGATGTGAGTGTGGTAACAATGGGCTGTTGAGGAATCTCTTCGAGCGATCAGATGAGATATTCGGTTCCACATCACCACTCCCAAAGAGGATGTCTATTGTCAGCTCTCACTGCTTCATTGAAAATTATGAGCACTGTTCTGATTAGTAAGACTTTGTAGCAGAGGTCCACAGATAGAGGAAAACGTAATTCCATCCAAGTCCAAGCCCAATACTACTGTGATTTCCAACGATAGCATACGTCCGAAGAAAAGTCCGTAGCATTCGAGCAGAGCCTTCTCGGATAGTCATATGGTCACCCTTCGGCCGCATAATCGCAACCGCCCGGGCCAGTCCAGGTGCAGTTGTGTGCAATGGCTTACACAACGCCCTCAACAATTGCCACGCCGGCAGCCAGATCCGATAATTCGTGGAAGAAAACGTGGCAAGATTGACTCTTTTAGTGACCTGAGACTTTGATTGTTACCGCTGCCACTCCAAACGACAGTCCAACAATAATTTACACCCCCTTATCAAAAGCCTACACCTCAATCTCAACCTTCATCACATCACCACTACCAAACTTAACCACTCCAACATAAATCCAAAACGGCTTATACTTATACATCCACTTATTAAAGTTCTATATTATAACCTTTAATATATAATTATTAAGCGAAATATAGTATAAGTTAACTTTAAACACTTAATTTTAACTTTTATTACTAACCTCTTTAAAAATATAATTAATATTAATAAAAACTTAATTAATTTAATTATTAATATCTTTATAAATTATATTAGTTTTATAAATTTATTTACTTATTTAAAAGTTATAATTAATAATAATACCTAGCCGCTTACTTATTATTATTATAACTTAAATTAAATACACCTTAACTAAATATATAAATAACGTTACTAATATATATAACTTAATTATACCTATAGTTCTTTAAGTTATCTTAACCGTAGCTAACAGGGGTTATATACTATAGAGTTAACATGCTGAACCGCTATAAATGACATCAGTGAGTGAGCTTGGTCATCTGCTGCAAACTGGAAGGAGAAGACATATGCCTATTTTTATGTGGACAAATGAAACGGTGATAATTGAGAGATGTGAGCTATGCTTTCTGGGTGTGAAGCAATCAGGACATGGAAACGCGTCAGAGGTGCAGGAGAGATTCTGTTGTCCTTTTTAAGTTGTTAGCGCGATGACGCTGGGTGCGGAATATATATTCCTCTGCCCCGCCATCGCCAACCGTTAGTGGGGTTTCCAGACAGAGCGACTGCATTAGCAACTGCAGGTCGTACAATTCAACAGTGAGTGCGTTCAAGCTATTCTGCATTTACAAGGGGCCCATTTGTAAACGGCGAGGACTCGTAGATAACTAGAAACCAAAGCTAAGCGCTGTCTAACATTCCCCAATAGCCACACGCACACCCTGGGGCAGTGCAGTCCTCCAACACCCAAAGGCTGTCTCACAGAGACTAGACGCCTCGGGCCAATTTTGCACCTGTGCAAACACTTCGAAATTGGCAGCCCTGTCAGCGACTGGGGACAATCGCCCCCACCCCGGGGATCCGCCCTCCCGAAGTAGAAGAGCAAGAGAAAAAAACAACTCAATACAGAACCTTCCCAAAAGATGACATTGTGTGAACTTTCTGTGGGCTAACCCATCTAGGGAATATCTTCACTCAAAATGAATATCATCAGATGCCTGAGCAAGATCGATACTGATACATCCCAGGAAGTTACAGGTCCCATTTCTAATCCCACAAATTTAAAATATACGTGGCGCCTTCATACAGTGGCAAAGGCTCAAGAAATAGGGTTTCAAAAGAAAAAAACAATGCTAATAACAGTGCAGAGAGAATACAACACGTCTACAGGCACGTGGTCTCAGCCTCGTGCCGTACAGAGAAGGCCAGGAAGTATCGCTCCCGACGGCGCCGCTGACTAGAAGCGTCAACACAAGTAGCCCGAGGGCTAATAGTTGGCGAAGCAGTCCTACGGCGATACTATAATAGGGTATCAAGATGGCCCATATACTAGAAGAATCCCACAAAGGGACACTCAGCCGAAAAAAGCCTTTGCCATGTATCAAGTTCAATGTTTACCTTTCCACATGGTGACGAAGCAATACTTCGTCTTCTATAAAAGCCCCCACTACACCGGTCGAATTATTTAGCTTCATTCCTTGCCTCGGCCCCGGGATCGATCTTAGTCACAGAAAACAATCGATTGTGGATTCTCACGCTGACCTCGAAGAGCACACAGGTCGTCTCATCGGTCAATTGCAGCTCGAGGACATCAATGAGGTGTCGTCTCACGGCACCCCTGAACGCAACGACTTTGCTTTTGCCCTGACTCTTTACGAGAATAACATGAAGACTATGGATGACCGAGCGATGGCCCAAAGACATGCACACGGTGTCCCTGCTGATGCCGAAATCATCAAAGAATCGCTACTTGAAGAGCAGCAAGCCCCGGATCACCGACGAGGGGCCCCACTACAGGCGAACAGTCAAGACGCACCCATCCTTCCAATGAAAATGGTCGGTGCAGCCTTTGCTGAGGATGATGGGATTGACGACAACGACTCGACCCCGGCCTGTGCACCTACTCGTCCTGTAGCCAAGCACGAGTGTTGCGCTTGTGCAGACGAGTTCACCTTCGAAGCCGTCGCTCGTGTCCCCTGCGGCCATCATTACTGCCGGAACTGCCTAAAGCATCTCTTCACGCTGTCCCTGACACAAGAGATATTGTTCCCTCCGCGATGCTGCCGCCGGGCTATGGACGCAAAGCATTATCCCCTGCTCCTTCCACTGCGGCTTCTCAGGGATTTCCAGACCCGCATGGTGGAATTGACAACGGACGACCGCACCTACTGCCACGTGCCTGGGTGCGGCAAGTTTATCCTTCCACAGAACATTCGGCAGCAAGTTGGCCGCTGTGTTGCCTGTAACGGGCGGACCTGCTCCGTATGCAAAAACACCGCCCACGTCGGAGACTGCCCTGAGGATCTAGCCGTGAAGGCACTGGAAAGTCTCGCTGCTCAGAATGGCTGGAGACGGTGCAATGACTGTCGTCGAATCGTTGAGTTATCGCATACTGTGTAAAGCACTCCCTCAGACATGCAGAAGGCCTGACGTCACATGGGGGCTTTGGCTGTTCATTGACATCCATGGATGCTTGTTCTCAGTCCACAATTCCAGGGGTAAAAGTGGCACTTGGAGATTGAGACCAGCGTGCACACAACCAACAACACCTCAGCAGCACTGACTTAGTCCGCCTTTTCCAAGTTCTGAGGCCGCATGTAAATGACAAGAATGGCAATGATCCAATCGGGGACGAGCTGGCCTCTGCTGTCGCGACGGATTCTCAATCTCCCAGGGCCGGCCTCGAAATCAGGAAGAGGCCCAGTATAAACCCACCCAGGCATGGCGGATCGCATTCCTTCATCGGTCCGACCAACGCCAGGAGCGACGAGACCCACAAAAGAGGACTACGTGCCCGTGTGCCATCCTTAAAACCCGCAGTCGCTTCACTAGCCGCCTTTCAACATGACTTGGCTTTTCCTTGGCTTTGCTTCTTTTAAGCCCCAGCTTCAACCGAGACCACCCACCGCGACGCCCTGCCAAGACTTCACGATACGTCGGCTCGCAATCGTTCCGATGTGGATTCGGCCTGACCACTTATTTTTATATCCGCGGGGAGCAACGTGAAATCATAATGCGCTCAACGACATGGCCTCTCTTCGCAGTTGGCGTATTCGCGCCTCTGGCTGCAGCCAGCGTCGAGATCGAATGGACCTCAGATGGTACGTTGCGAGTTCTGACAAATGACGTGCCTCTTTTCCAAAACGTACAAGAACAGTTAGAATGACATCTGGACGCAATGTGCCTGTGCACTGCGGCGTGGATGATCGGTTCTTGCCTTACGAATTCGGATACCATCACAGGCCAGCAATGTCCTATCATGCTGACTGACACGGGGGGGAACAGATTCGATAAAACAAGGAGCTTCAACAATTGCCTACGGAATGCTGCAATGGTACAGTGGTAACAACACCGGTGACGTTCCGGGCAACTTGCCGGACCCGTACTACTGGTGGGAAGCAGGAGCAATGTTCGGGACACTGATCGATTACTGGGCCTACACGGGCGATGACTCGTACGTGGACGAGACGTACCAGGCGATGCAGCACCAAATGGGAGACGACGGTGACTTTATGCCCGAGAACCAAACCCTCACCGAGGGAAACGATGACCAGGGTTTCTGGGCCATGGCGGCCATGACAGCAGCCGAGACGAACTTCAAGAACCCAAACTCGACCGAGGATGGGGGAATCGCGTGGTTAGCAGCCGCACAGGCCGTCTTCAACGAATACGTCTGGCGGTGGGAAGCATCGGATAACATGTGCGGCGGCGGGCTCCGGTGGCAGATTTTCACATTCAACACCGGTTATACCTACAAGAACACCATCTCCAACGGGTGCTTCTTCAACATCGCCGCGAGACTGGCCCTCTACACTGGGAACGAGTCATATGCCGATTGGGCAAATACGGTGTATGACTGGATGGATGATGTGGGGTTCATCGACGGCGACTTCAACGTCTACGACGGTGCTGACAGCCAGGACGGCAAATGCGCAAATCCCGACAAGGCCCAGTGGACATACAATGCCGGAATCTTTATGTACGGGGCTGCAGCCATGTACAACCACACCGGCGGCAGTGATATCTGGGCAAACCGCGTCAACGGGCTGATCAAGCGGACCTCGCAATACTTCTTCAAAAACGACATAATAGAGGAGCCGCCGTGTGAGCCCCAGGATAGTTGCAAGACGGACAACTACTCGTTCAAGGGATACGCGCTCAAGTGGATGGCCAAGACCATACAGCTGATGCCATCGACATACGACACCCTCAAGCCGCTCATCCTGGCCTCGGGGAAGGCTGCTGCATCCAGCTGCACTGGTACCGCGCAGGGCAGCGCAGGCGGCGTGCTGAACGGCATCGCATGCGGGTTCAAATGGACGGGAAGCACGAACGATGGAACCAGCGGCGTGGGACAACAGATGAGCGCCCTGCAGGCGGTATTGTTCACGCTGGATGGCCCCGCTCCTCTGAGTGCCACTACTGGGGGAACTTCGAGCGGCGACTCGAGTGGCGGAAGTCAAAAGACAGACAAGAGCATAGACCCCACGAAACCTATCACGATTGGTGATCGTGCAGGTGCCGGGATATTGACAGCCATGGCGCTGGCCGGTCTGTTTGGAGGGTGCGGGTGGATGATGGTGGACTAGGGTTGCTTTGAGGATAGATGATGTTGTGCTTGTGCTACCATTCTCTGGAGGTAATTATGACCTTTGCCGTTATAATGTTGTATTCAAGGAAACGGTGTCCGGAGTTCAGAGGGACGGACGCGTTCTGTCCCAGCATCCACATATTTCAATCTGAAGACAGTTTGACAATTGAAAACCTGATATTCTCTCACAAGTACCGTTGCAAATCAATTTAAATTTGTTCAAAGGTTGTCAGCTTCATGGGCTCAAATTTGCAATGTTTTGATTTCTCTGGGTATTGAGAGGCGAGAAAGAATTCAACGTACAGGGTGTAGATATAATGCGGAAGAGCAGGCTGCTATAGTTATTAGTACGCCTTGAGATGCACATGCAAGTGTTGCTAAGAGAAATCGGGTATTCCGCGCTCTGGACGGATTCCATCATAATCATTGTTGGGCAGACCATACGGCATAGCGGGCTTTCATACCTACCTAGGTAGGTAGTCGGCCTTTCGGCTTTCATAGACCCACCGACAAGGTCCTTGATTCAAGTTGTTGTTGGAGCGCTCTCAGATCATTCCGCATTACAGTGATGGTGGCAATTATGGATGGGAAGATACTGGGGGTGGCTCATAATCCGTAATCTGATCTGCCATTTTTTTGACGTTTATCAACTATGAGCAAGCCGGCTCGCCATGGGGTCTCACGTGCGTGTGGAATGGGCACGCTCGTCATCGAGGCGGCGACCATGTGGGCAGAATGATCGAGATGCACGCTATCATGAGAGACCGCAGTACAATTATGCCGTATTTTCAAGACATAAAGATGAAGAATGGGGGAATCAGTAACACTCACGACTCTCAAGAAAAAGAGCGTATACTGTCGAGGACGGGTTAAAGTAACCGACGGTCATTGCGCCGCGGATCAAGATCAGAGTCTTGCCAGGCCCTGCCACTGTTCTTCTATCTACAGTCTAACCCCACCAAGACTTTGCCGCGGCTGCGTTGGAAGTCACAGCAGATGCTCGTCGAACCAAGCAATGGCCTGGTAGAAAGCCTGCTCCTTGGCAAACTTCTGGACCTTGACCGAGATGTCACCACGGACGGCAAAGCCGTGCTACAGACGAGAGTCAGCAAATCATCCCATCTACACCCGGTGATCGGGACAGTGCCACATACCTCTACGCCGCTGAACAGGTTGATCTGATAAGGCAGGCCGGTCTTGCGCAGGATCTCCTCGGACTTGTGGCGCTTCTCGGTTGGGAAGATGGTGTCTGTCTCAGCGGCGGCGATGGACAATGGCCCGGTGATGGCGGCCAGCTCGTCATCGTCGACAAAGGAGGGGTGGGCAACGTAGCCGACCTTGATGCCGTCCTTGTAGTGGCGGACGACGTACTAGGAGAGGAAGTGGTCAGCAGCACGCACGAGAAGGTATGGCTAGGCAGTGAGAAAGAGTGGGAGGAGAGGGCTCACCTTGGCACCGAAACAGTACCCAATGGCACCAATCTTGGTGAAGCCCTGTTCCTTGAGGTATTTCAGGCCGGCCTCGACGATGGGGTCTACGGCCTCCTTGGTGTGAGGGTTGTCGCCGTTGGTGCCCTCGGCGAACCACTTCATGATGTCTGACGGCGGGGGGTTGGGGAACTTGTCGCCGTTGAAGACATCGACGATGATGGTGTGGTAGCCGTTCTCGGCGAATTGGTCGGCCATGAGCTGGGAGTTCTGCCAGATGCCGAAGATGTCGGGGATGTAGAGCAGGGCGGCGCCATCATGCTTCTTGCCCTTGGGCTCGGCCACATACGTCTCATACTGGCCTATCTTGATGGTCTTGCCAGTGGGCTCGCCGCTGTTGGGAGTGGGAGGACGTGATAGTCAGCCTCGTGAATGTGTTGTATGGACGCATATGCGGATGGGCTTGGCGTTGGAGCCGGGCCCAAAAGCAAGCCTGAACCTCGAAGCTCGGGGCTCGGGGCCGGGGGTTGCAGCGGCAGTGGGAGCAACTTACTCGTGCTTGACACCGACAGTGCAGCACTTTCCCGGGGGGTTGGAGGCCATGTTGGTTGATTCTTGAGAAGATTCTTGAGACGAAGTAGTCTTAGTCTTGTCTGGGGGATGGTGTCTAGGCCGGGTTCGCAGACGTGTGAATAGGGCTCTTGGGACCTGGCAACCCGCGGGAGGAGGAGACGGAAAATTGAGCTATCTGATTTATAATGGAAGAGGGCAAGATCTGACTGATCTGGTCCCGGCTGCCAAGCTGTCCCACTGCCGCCCCACCGAGCTACCACCGGAGCTACGGCGTACGGACTAGACAGATGGAGAAGACGGAGTCTTGTCTGCCAGCTGCTGATGTAATGGCACGGAAAGCCGAAACCCAGGCGAGCTACCAGCACCCAGAACCCACCGTTGCCGCTTGTCTCTGTCGGTGCCTCCGGGATTATTATGGGGGTAGCAGTTGCGTTTAAGCAGCAGAGGTCAACTGCCCTGACTGCCACAGTGCTAGTGTACCAGAGAACGTCGTGGAGATGCTGACCGAACATTTCAAGGCCTAACGTTCCGCTGAGGGCGTCCTGGCGTCATGACCCTATACCCACACCTCTGCAGATCTGTGGTGTAGATCCCGAGCACCCGCAACGATGGGTGCAGACCTGTTCAACGACTCACAATCTGGCGGCTGCGGCAGGCGGCAGTGGGCGGCCGGGATTGAGCATCCGGGACTGAGCCCAGACCCGAGGGGTCGCGGCCCGCCACCTGTCGGGTTATTCCGGTGGCACAGGGTTGCAGGCAGCCTGCAAAAGAAACCGCCGCTAAGTCCAAGTCTTCATATTAGCACCACAATTATTCCACAACTATATCATATATACTTAATTTGAAGTATATTAATATCTTTAGAGTAAACTTCTAATTTAAATAGTATGAAAATATTATTTAGAACTTATAGTTATAAGTAAAAGGTAGGTAGATAACTTTTAGAAACTTAATTCTAATATATAATTAATAGTAGTTTCTTTTATAAACTAGTAGGCTACTTAGGTTATTAGATATAATTTACTATTATAATTATATCTTTATTGTTACTAATAGCTTTAAAATTATAAAACTTAACTCTAATTAAATTAAATTAAATAAAAAGAAAAGAATAATAAGAAATATTAAATATAAAATAATAATATTTTTTAAATAAAATAAAATAAAAAATAAAAAAGTAATACCATTTAAATTTATTATTACCTTACTTTAAAATATATTATATTAATTTTATTCTTTATAAATTAATAAGTTAAATATTATAGTGAACCTATGAGCATGACATAAAGCCTGTCAATGACGCCTCATCCTCTCCACGTCGCCGTCAGTATATGATTCATCGACCCAGGAGACTGAAATTCTCCCTCAAATTCAAAGCCAGCCTCTTTAAAAAGACCCGTCCACTCTCCAAGTACCCGGTCACTCGAGTTGAAGTTCACGTTCATCAACAGACTCGCGTTGCGCAGGGTTCGCTCAAAAGGCGGCGGTATGGCCTCTGCTGGCGGCGTGACCCTATCATTTGTAATGATTTTAGACCCATATTCTCACGATACAATCGACTTCTCTGGGTTACCTGTGGGGACGATCCGGCACTGGGTGTGGTCGACGGCCTGCCCAGATGCGTCGAAAGCGAAATGGGGGCAATAACGACCCAGGTCTTGCATCTGTCCAACGCTACCAGCCTGCATCATGGTCCGTCACTTGCCACACAGATCATCACTGCGAAGAACCCCAAGAACGAAGACGAGTTCCATGAGCATGATGGTCTTCTACGGATTCCGAGGATCTTCGAGGGTGACAATGAGAACCTGGCCATCAAGCACCACCTGTTTGACTCGGTCCGCGAGGCGACCGTCATGCCTGAAGAGGCCCTGAGGCTCACAGTTGGCAAGCCGGGCCTCTTGGACACACTTGACTATGTTGAGGATGACCGGCTGCTTTCAGACCTGGCCAGCCATGAAATAGAAGTGCAGGTCAAGGCCACAGGCATCAACTTCCGAGACATCATGGCAGCTATGGGGCTCATTCCCATGACCGTCCTGGGCCTGGAAGGCAGTGGGATAGTCACCAAGGTAGGTTCCCAGGCGGCAAGCCATTTCGGAGTCGGCGACCGCGTGAGCTTCATGGGGCTCGGAGCCCACGCTACTCGGTGTCGAACGGACTACCGGCTGGCAGTCAAGATCCCGGACAGCACGACTTTCCCCGAGGCAGCGGCCCTTCCCATCGTGTACATCACGGCGTACCATGCATTAGTCAACCAAAGCAGGTTGAGAAAGGGAGAGTCAGCATTAATCCACGCTGCAGCGGGCGGAGTTTGGCAGGCAGCAATCCAGGTAGCCCAACGCCTGGGCCTGGTGATATACACCACGGTAGGGTCTCAAAAAAAGCGCAAGCTGCTCACAGATACATATGGCATCCCCGAGGAGCACATATTCTACTCGCGTGATGCCAGCTTCGCGAAGGACATTATGCGTGTCACCGGGGGCCGTGGGGTGGATTGCGTCCTGAACTCCCTCTCGGGCGAGCTGCTCAAGGCCTCCTGGGAATGTCTCGCCCCCTTTGGCACCATGATCGAGATTGGCCTCCGTGATATCCTCGACAAAGAATACCTGGATATGCGCCCGTTTGCCAAGGGCACAACGTTCACCTTCCTGGATACGTTTGGCCTCCTGAAGGAGAAGCCAGACTACCTCGGAGGCGATTTGAAGGACGCTTTCTATTTCATCCGTGAAAACTCGCTCCAGGCTCCAACCCCCCTGTCTGTGCAGCCCTTTGGCAAAGCAGGCGACACGTTCCGCACCGTCCAGCAGGGAAGACACCGCGGCAAGATGGTGCCCTCGTTTGAGGACGACGGCCCTGCACCAGTACTGCGCAGGGCGCAGGACTCACTCAGGCTTAACCCGGATGCTACCTACCTGCTCGTCGGCGGGCTGGGTGGTCTCGGCCGCAGTCTGGCGCGGCATTTTGTCGAGTGCGGCGCGAGGAACATTGCCTTCATCTCGCGGTCCGGCGGCGAGACCCCTGAGGCACAGGCGCTCATCCGTGAGCTTTCTGTCGCGCGCGTCAGGGCGTTGAAGGGCGACGCGACGGATGCAGCCTCGTTCCGCGCTGCCATTAACCAGTGCGAGAGCGAGCTCCCCGCGGTTGGGGGAGTGGTGCAGATGGCTATGGTACTGAGGGACACGGTGTTCGAGACCATGTCTTATGATGCGTGGAACACTGGCCTCCGGCCCAAGGTGCAAGGTACGATGAACATCCACGACTGTTTTGGTCCTGAGAGGCCTCTCGAGTTCTTCCTCATGTGCTCGTCTGTTTCAGGAGTCACCGGAAACATGGGCCAGGCTCAGTACTGTGCCGGTAACACGTACCAGGACACGCTTGCCCACTATCGCCGGTCCAAGGGCCTCAAGGTCAGCTAATCATCCTGCCCCCTCGCCTTTGAATGTAGTCTACATAGAATTCTAACCTCTCAAATAGGCAACCTCTATCAACCTTGGTATCATGCGTGACGTGGGTGTGATCGCGGAGCAGGGAGTAACGGGCCACTACAAGATCTGGGAGGAAGCTCTCGGCATCCGAGAGCCCACGTTCCACGCCCTTATCAAGGGCATAATCAGCCGGCAGATGAACGAGGACCCAGCTGCCTGGCCCCCGGCCCAAGTCATCACAGGACTGGGCACAGCAGAGATGATGACTGCACTGGGTTTCCAGCAGCCCTGGTACTTCAGCAAGGCGCGCTTTGAGCCGCTCGCAGTGACCAGCCCATCAGAGAGGACATCTGGGTCGGGCAGCGCGGGTGCTTCCTCGGTTGCTTCGAGGCTCGCAGAGGCGGATAGTAAGGAACGTGCGGTTGAGATCATCACGGAGGCGCTGACAGGGAAGGTGGCCGATATCTTGCAGATGCCACCCTCCGATGTGGACCCGGAACGGCCCATGTACCGCTGCGGTGTGGACTCGCTGGTCGCACTCGAGGTCAGGAACTGGATCAGCAAGGAGATGAAGGCCAGTGTGGCGTTGCTCGAGGTGCTCGCAGCCGTGCCGATGACCGTCTTCGCCGCTACCATTGCCGACAAGAGTGAAATCTTTCAATCGGCCAAGGCCTGATCCAGGGTTATAATGGAGACTTGAAGCAGGAGGAGGGGATGGGGGTGTGATCGAGAAGTCAACGTAAAATAGATGTAGATAGACAACAGGTCTCCCGGTCGTATTTGCATGGGCCCTAAATCTATCCATATAAAATACCTTTTAGAGTACGTTATGGGGTTCCCGGACACCCCTAGTACCCGGACAGATGCCGGATTGATGAATGAGCTTTCTCGCATTTGTTGATATTGTTAGTGATTATGATGTTTGATTGGTCTGTCCGGTTACTAGGGGTGTCCGGGAACCCCATAACGTACTCTATTTACTTGGTTCAAACCAACCATACTGGCCCTGTCAGAAAGGGACAGTACCTAGGTACCTAAGTACCTAGGCACTCCGTACGCTAGGCCCATGCGCCCAGACCTGCTCGCTAGCTGCCGCTCGACGTCATGGCAGATTTCAAGGGTCGCATCTCAATTGAAGCTGCATATCTGACCCTTGTGTTCCGACCACATACCCGCCAACCACCGGACGATCACAACAACAACAACAACCACAACCCAAGCAACCAGCCAGCCCCCACCAGCTCGGCTGCACAGATGAGGAACGGGCTGGTCTCCTGTCGGACTTGAGGGAGGGATCGATCTCGCCATGGCAACCGCCGAGGTGGACGTGCCTGGAGCAGCCCATCCCGACCGACACACTGGCAATGCCTTCGTCCGTGGCAGCAGCACGAGGCCTTCCGAGGTGGGCGGCGCCGACTGGGGCAGCGATACTTGCGGGTCAATGAACCCCCCCGGAGAGGTCGACGACAAGCAGATTGCCACCAACCACCTGCCATCGCCACGCCGTCCCTCCCACTCCTCGCACTCGTCCCGGCCCTCCAACGGCGGCGACCACGACTCCACCTTGATGCCGCCCCCCACGATGCTCCTCGCAAACGGCAACACCCCTTTCCCCCGTGCCCCCATGGCCATGGGCGACACCTCTGCCACCGACGGCTTCACCTATGACGGCCTGACCTCGTGCGCCGTCTCCGAGGCCGAGACCTCGGCCCCCCAGTCCGCCATCGACTCCTCCACCGACGCCCTGCCCTCGCTCGACGAGACCCACGTCACCCCCAAGAAGGAGCCAAGGAGGAGCTCGTCCATTGCCAACAGGACCCGTGAGCGGTCCGGCACAAAGTCCAGCGACCACGGCGGCATCCGGCGCCTCTCCGCCTCCAAGATCCAGGAGCTGGCCGCCTCCCCAGAGTCGCTGCCCATCGCCACCATCCCCGACCAGCCCCTGTCCGCCGGCATCGTCGACGCCCACCGCCAGCCCATGTCGTCCCAGCTGTCCGCCAGCCCCCAGCAGGTCTTCGATAAGGTCGAGAACCACAGGTCCCAGGCCTTTGGCGACACCCCGTCCAGCAGGATCCTTCACTCGGTCCGCCCGGGCCTCTCCACCAGGACCGTGTCCACGCCTCCCATCAACCGCGCAAAGTCCGTGAGCCAGCCTCCGGCCCCTTCCGCCGCCACCCGCCGCAACTCGTTCCAGCCATCACCAAGACCCGCGCCCCTGCATCTGGACACGGGCAATGCTGCCAACCTGGGCCCTGCCAACGCACGCAATGCCTACCCTGAGTCCCAGGCCCAGGCTCGCCCTGATCACCGAGACCACCGCGACCACCGCGACCACCGCGACCACAGGGAGCCCCGGCCGCCGTCGCCCATCCCGCCCTCCATCCCCCTCCCGCCGCTGTCCGCGCCCACCCTCCTCCAGCTCGAGCTGGCCGCCCAGAGGCCGAGCCCGCTCTACATACATCAGTCCTACGCCAGCGACCTCCCCTACGAGTCCAGCGCCGTCAAGTTTGAGCGCCTGAAAAACTTTCTGTTCCTCCCCATGTTTCTCGAGAAGACCCTCATGTTTGGCGCCCTCGCCTGTCTGGATGCCTGGCTGTGGACCTTCACCATCCTCCCCATGCGCTTCTGCATTGCCTTTGGCGTGCTCTTCAGGTGGTGGGCTTACATCCTGGCCAAGGAGACGCGGTGGCTCGTCGGTTTCGTCTGGGAGGGGCTGGGCCGCTTGTGGCAGCGAGGGCGCAGGGGTCGGGGCCTGACCCGCAGGCAGAGCTTTGATGGCTCGCGGAGTACGGATGGCGAATCCAGGAGCCGGAGCAGGGCCAGGGAGTCCCTCCACGATGGCAGCATGAGCAGCCCAGCTGCCACCAACGGCGGGCCGCAGGGCGAGGTCCTCCACCGGGCGCAGTCCACGCGGGCCAGAAAGGGCACAAATGGGACAGCCCGTGTGCCTCCCATGCGAATGCACTCTCGGCCGCACAATGGGCCTTTCCGCCACCGGCGCACGAAATCAACCCCGTCAAACCTGACCTCCTTCCACAAGGCTGACCTCCTCCAGGGCTTGGTCATCATCTGTAGCTCTGTCGCCCTCATGAACCTGGACGCCAGCCGCATGTACCATTTCATCAGGGCACAGTCGGCCGTCAAGCTCTACGTCATTTACAACCTTGTTGAGGTGAGTCTCGATATCTTGCCCCGGCAGTGAGGAGTGGTATGCTGAACAAAGCACCAGGTCGGCGACCGCCTGCTGTCCGCCCTCGGCCAGGACATATTCGAGTGCCTCTTCAGCTCCGAAACGCTGTCGCGGAACAGCTCTGGCCGCTCCAAGGTCATGCTCCCCTTCGGCATGTTCCTGCTCTCCCTCGTCTACAACTGCGCCCATGCCGTCACCCTCTTCTACCAGGTCATCGCCTTGAACGTGGCTGTCAACTCGTACTCCAACGCCCTGCTGACCTTGCTCATGTCCAACCAATTCGTCGAGATCAAGGGCAGCGTCTTCAAGCGCTTCGAGAAGGAGAACACTTTCCAGCTCACCTGTGCCGACGTCGTGGAACGCTTCCAGCTGTGGCTCGTCTTGCTCATCATCGGCATGCGCAACGTCGTCGAGGTCGGCGGGCTCAGCGTCCCCGGCGCCGGCATCGAGCTCGGCGACGACGGCATCGCCGCCACCAAGGGCCCGCTGCACAACCCCTCCATCCTCCCCATGAGCTTCACCATCCTGCCGTCGTGGCTCTGGTCCGGCGAGGTCCTGTCGCCCTTCCTGATCGTCATTGGCAGCGAGATGTTTGTCGACTGGATCAAGCACGCCTACATCAACAAGTTCAACAACATCAAGCCCAACTTCTACAGCAGGATCCTTGACATACTCTGCAAGGACTACTACACAAACGTCAGTGACATCGTATACCTCCGTGTCAACCCAGTCTCTAACAACTCGCAGGCCTTCGTTTCCCCGTCTCTCACCCGCCGGCTTGGTCTCCCCCTCCTCCCGCTGTCGACGCTCTTCATCCGCGCATCCTTCCAGACATACCACATGTTCCTCGCCACTCATCTCCCCGTACCCATACCGCCATCAACACAGACATCGCTTTCAGTCGAGTCCTCCACGCCCGCCTCGCCTGCAGTCACAGCCGCTCTCGACCGCCTTGAGCACTTCATCCGCAATGCCCTCGGCCGGTCCGTGTACGGGCTCGACGAGGGGTTCCCCGCAAATGGGACAGCGGCCAACAGCACCACAATGTTTACGTGGCTGTCGTGGTCGAGCGACGATGCCATTGCCTTGGTGACCAAGATACTAGTATTCTTCATCTTGTTCCTATTCCTCCTGATCCTGAAACTACTCCTCGGCATGTTGCTGCTCAAGTACAGCCGTGACAGGTACGCCAGGATGAAACTGAAAGAGCACGCCGTGTCTACCGGCAAGATGGAGAAGGAAACGTTTGACACCAAGGGGACCAAGAGGTTCGGCGGGTTCGGGGCCGTGGAGATCGGGGACGAGAGGCGGAGGTGGATCTACGCCGATGATCCGGACGGCATGAAGAGGGCCAAGGACAGGGAGAGGAAGACCGAGGAGAGCATCGGAAAGGAGAAGGACCTGAGCGGTGTGATGCGGTATGAGATGGTTGCTAAGAGGATTTGGTAGCCCGTAGCCCATATCTAGCATCAATTCATAACAGGCTGTCAGGAAATGCAGCCTGCCCAAGTTCATCGGGCCATTCATTCTCCGTGAAGTCCTCTACCTGGGCACTAACTCGATGATATCACGAATTAGTACACTCATTTCCATCTACACCATTTCATGAATCTAATAGACACTGCCATAATCTCAAGGTCCCTTCTATAAGCATTTCGGCAGATTGGAAACGCTCAAGTGCTAGTAACAGTGTTCTGTCGACAGGTTAGAAGTGTTATACAAGCATAGCGCTGCGTTATAATAGGGTTAAGTAGGGTTAAAATTAGTCTAAATTAGTTTAGTTATAAACCTTAATTAAAATTAAAAACTTTAAATTAAAAAAATAGTAATTAAATCTTTTTTTAATTAGTAATTATAATTAAAAATTAAATTAATTTATAAATTAGTTTTTAATCTTTAATTTAATTAAAAAAAAGTAGATTTATTTTTATTAAATTTTATTTTATTAAATATTAAATTATATGATATAGTTTAAATATTAAAAAATATTTTTAAATTCTTTTAAAAATTAATTATTATTTTAATTAATTTTTAAAATAATAAAATATTTTTAAAAATATTTATTTAAAAGTATTTATTAAAAATATTATATTTTAATTTAATTTAAATAAATAATATTAAATAAAATATAAAAATTAAAATATAATTTTAATTTTATTTTAATTTAAACTTTAAACTTTTATATATTTAAAAGAATAAAGTTTTATAATTTATTTTTAAAAAATTATTTAATTTTAAATATATATATTTCTTTATATAATTATTTAAATAAATAATAAAATTATAATTAAATTAAATTTAATTATTTTTAATAATTTATTTAAATAAATATAAAATTTTATATAAAGTTAAAGGTAACTTTATATATAAAATTTTTTTATAAATAATAATTTAAAAGTAATTATATAATATAATAATATAATTTATTAATTTATATTTTAAAATAATATTTAAAATAATAAAAGTTATTATAAATTTAATAGTATTAAATTAATAATTAATATTATAAAGTTTTTGTAATTATTAAAAACTTTTAATTATATTAATATTAAATTTTATATTTTAAATTTATATTAAAAGAATATTAAAAATAAAGTTATTTAATTATTTATTTCAATTTATAATATTTTCTTTATATTATAAAATTATAATATTATTTATTAATTTTTAAATATATTAATAAAGCTTTATTATAATATAATTATAATATTATTAAAAAATTTATTTTTATAATATATATAATAATTTTATTAATAAATTTATTATATTAAATTTATATAATTAAATTAAATTTAATTAAAATATTTTATTTTTATATAATTAAATTATATATATATATTATTTATAATAATTATTATTAATATTATAATATTAAAATTAAAATTTATATATTTTTAATATTTTAATATTTTATTTATTAAATTTTAAAAATTTTATTTAATATATATACCTTTTAATTAATAAAATTTTTAAAATATAAAGTATATTATATTTAAATTTATAATTTAATAATTCCTTTTAAATATAAGATTAAAAGATTTATAATTATAATTTTATAATTAGTTTTTATTAAATTATATTATATTATTATAACTTTATTTAATTTTTAACTTTATTTAAGCCTTTTAAATTTCTTAAATATTTTTCTTTTAAAAAGTTAAATTTAAAGAAGAACCTTTAAGCAAATTTAAAATTTTTATAAATTTTAATTTTCTTTAAATTAAATTTATAATTTTTAACTTTTAAAATATATTAATTATTTTAAATATTAATAACTTTTTTAAAATAAAAGTTTACCTTTATATAATTATAAATTTAATTATTAATAGTTATTTTTATTATAATAAAGTTATTAAAATTATAAACTTAAATATTATATATAATAATAAAGTATAATTATTTTATTTAATTATTTTTAATTTAATAATATAATAAGTTAAATAACTATTTTTAAATAGTTTTATTTATAATATAATAAAGTTAATAGTTTTTAAGTTTACTAAATAAATATTTATTTAAATAAAGTTAAAACTTATATATATTTTTAATTAAAGGAATAATAGCTTTATTTTTATTTTATTTTAACTAATTTATTTAAATTATATAATAACTTTATATATAATATTTAATAGTATTAAAACTAGCTTATAATTTATAATAGTTTTAACTTTTAATAAACTAATAATATTAATTTAAACTAATTAAATATATTTTAATATATTAATATAAAAATATCTTTTAATAATAAATAATATTATAAATAATTATAAAGTTATTATAAAAAGTTTTATATAATAAACTTAATTAAATTAATTTTTAAAAATATATTATATTTTATTCTTTTAAAACTCTAATAATTTACTTTTAATTTAATAATAGAATTAAAAAATATAAATAATTTATAATTTAATAGTTAAAATCTTTTAAATAAAAGAAAAACTTAAATTTAATTTTTAATAAATCTTTTATAATATATTTTATTTTTTATTTTATTTTATTTTTTATTAATTAATTTATTATTAATTAAATAGAAAGTTAAATAAAAATTAAATAAAATATTAAATAAAAGTTAAATAAAAAGTTAAATAGAAAATTAAATAAAAAGTTAAATAGAAAGTTAAATAAAAGTTAAATAAAAGTTAAATAAAAGTTAAATAAAAATTAAATAAATAGTTAAATAAAAATTAAATAAAAGTTAAATAGAAAGTTAAATAGAAAGTTAAATAAATAGTTAAATAAAAGTTAAATAAAAATTAAATAAAAATTAAATAAAATATTAAATAAAAGTTAAATAAAAAGTTAAATAAAACGTTAAATAAAAAGTTAAATAAAAGTTAAATAAAAGTTAAATAAAAGTTAAATAAAAATTAAATAAAAGTTAAATAAAAGTTAAATAAAGTATATAATAAAAGATATTTAAATAATTTAAATATTATTAAATTTATTTTATATTTATTAAATATTAAAGGAATATTAATAATTATTTAAGAGTATTTAATTAAATATTTATTTTTTATAATTAATAAAAAAGTTTAAAATAACTTTTAATTTTTAATTAATAAATAAAAGTTTAAAATAACTTTTAATTTTTAATTAAAAATAAAAAATTTAAAGTAATTTTAATTTTAATTTTATAAAAGGAAGTTTAAAATAATCATTAATTTTAATTAATAAATAAAAGTTTAAAAATTTATTAAAAGAAAATAATAATAAAATAACTTTTATTAATTTTAAAATATAAAATATATAATTATTTTTATTTTATTTTATAATTTATTTAATTAAATAATTTAAAATAAAATAAATTATTATTATTTTTAAGATAAGTTATTTAAATATAATTTAAATTAAAAATAATAAAATAAATTATTTTAAATTATTTTTTTATTTCTTTTATTAATTTCTTTAAATTTTAAATTTTTATTTTAATTTTTAAATATTATTAAACCTTTACTTTTTAATAATATTAATTCCTTATTATTTTATATTAAAATTAATTTTTAATTTAATTATAATATAATTAATAATAAAAATATTTTTTATAATAATAAATATAATTATAATAATAAAATATTTTAAATTAATATACTTAATATAAAATATTAAAATCTTTTATTTTAATATTTAAAGTTTAATTATTAATTATTAATAAATAAAATATTTAAAATAAAATAATTTAAAATATTTTAAAATTAAAATATATTTTTAAAAATAAATATTATATTTATTTTTAATATTTATTAAAATTTAATATAAAATTTATTATTAAAATTAAAAGTATTTTAAAATAAATTTATAAATAAAATATTATATACATTTTATTAAAAGAATATAATTTTATTTTAATTTTATAAAATATTAATAAATATATAAATAAAAATTAATTTTAAATTTATTTATTAAACTTATTCTTTAAAATAAACTATATATTAACTTTTATAAAAGAAATTTAATAATTTATTTTTAAAAATATAATATTTTATATTTTAAGTTTAAAATTAAAGTTAATATAAAAATACTTTTTAATTTAATTAAATTAATTTTAATAGTTTTATAAATTTAAAAAAGTAGTTTTAAATAAATTAATATATAATTATAATATAAATTAAAAATTATTTATTTAAAAATATCTTTTTAACTTTTTAAATTTTTATTACAACTTTTAAATTATTATATATTATATAAATATATAAGAATTTTTAAAAATAATTATATATAATTATTTTTAAAGTTTAATAAAAGTTTTAAAAATATTTTAAATATTTTATTAATTTAAATTAAAATATATATTTTAATTTAAAAATATATTTTTAAATTTAATATTAAATATATTTTTATATATATATTAAAGGTTTTTAATTATAAAAGTTTTTAATATAAAATATATAAAATTTTATTTTATAAAATATTTAAATTAAAATTAATATAAAATATTATTTAAAAATATTTTTATTTATTTAAAAATATTTTTATTTATTTAAAATATATAAATTATTTATTTTTAATATTATTATTAAAATTAAAATAAATAGTTAAAGTTTTAAAAATAAAATATAATATATTTTTAAAAATTAATTTAATTAATTTATTATATAAAACTTTTTATAATAACTTTATAATTATTTATAATATTATTTATTATTAAAAATACTTTTATATTAATATATTAAGTTATATTTAATTAATTTAAATTAATATTATTAACTTATTAAAAATTAAAACTATTATAAATTATAAACTATTTAATTTTAATATTATTAAATATTATATATAAAGTTATTATATAACTTAAATATAAATTAATTAAAATAAATAAAATAAAACTATTATTTTTTAAGGTTTTAATTCTATTTTATAAATAAATATTTATTTATTAACTTTATTATATTATTAATAAAACTATTTAAAAGTAATTATTTTATTTATTATATTATTAAAATTAAAAATAATTAAATAAAGTAATTATATTTTATTATTATATATAATATTTAAATTTATAATTTTAATAATTTTATTATAAATAGAAAAGAAATAATTATTAATAATTAAATTTATAATTATATAAAAATAGATTTCTATTTTAAAAAAGTTATTAATATTTAAAATAATTAATATATTTTTAAAAGTTAAAAATTATAAATTTAATTTTAAAAAATTAAAATTTAAAAGAATTTTAATTTAAATTTAAAAGCTTTTTAAATTTAACTTTTTTAAAAAATATTAAAAAGTTTAAAAAAGATTTAAATAAAATTAAAAACTAAATAAAATTATAATAATATAATATAATTAAATAAAAACTATAAGTTTTTAATTTTATATTTAAAAGAATTTAAAATATATAAGTTTTTTTAAAAGATTTTAAAAATTTATTTTATATATATTTTTAATACCTTTTATTAAAAGTTTATTAATTTTAATATTATATTAAATTAATATTATTATTTATTAAATTTAAGTAATAATATTTATAATTAATTAATATTAAATATTAATAAAATTAATAAAATTATTTATTATTTTTATAAATTTTAATATAATAATTTAAAGATTTATAAAATATTTAAAAATATATTTATTAATTTTTTATTTAATAAATAATTTTAAAATATTTTATATTATTAAATTAATAATATATATTATATAATAAATATTATTATTAAAATTAAAATTTAAATTAAAATTATATTTTTTTAAATTTTAATAAAATATATTATTATTTATTATATTATTTTAAATAAAATTATACTAAAAATATATTATTAAATATATATATATATATAATATTAAATATTTAAAAATATTATTTAAAATTATATTTAAATAACTTTAAATAGATTTTAAAATTTTTAAAAGATAAAATTAATATATTTATTTTTAATTTAAAAGATTTAATTAATTTATTAATTAATTTAAATTTTAAATTAATATATAAAATAATTATTTTTATATAAACTATATTTATTTTAAAAGTTTAAATATTAAAAATAAAAGAATTTATTATAATTAATAATTTTTTTAAATTTTAATTTAAATTTATAAAGTTTTATTAAAAATATTTATTAAAAATATTTTTAATTTTTAAATAATTAATAATAAATATAACTTTATATATATATATAATAAAAGTTTAATTAATTAAAATATTAAAAAAATATTTATATATATAAATTTAAATAAAATAATAATTTTTAAAAAACTTTAAATTTAATATATTAAAAATAAATTATTTTAATAATAAAATTTAAAATCTTATTATAAATATTTATATTTATAAAATTAACCTAATTTATTTAATTAAAATATTAAAAGTTATAAAATATAACTTTTAAAAATATTAATATATTAATAAAACATATTTTAAATATTTTATTTACTTTTATTTTTATTTTTATTTTTATAAAAAATTTTAAATAAACTTTTATAATAATAAATATAATTTAAAACTTAAAACTTTTAAAATATTATTTTTATAAAAGTATTTATAAAATTAATTAATTAAAAATTAAATAAAAATTAATTTTAAAAAAGATTAAAAGATTATTTTATATATTAATTATATAGTTAAAATACTTTTAAAATATAATTAATATATTTTTATTATAAATTAATTTAAAAAATAGTTTTTATTATTTTTAATAAATTATAATTTAATATAAATATAATTATATATAAATAAAATTTATAAAATAATATTTATATATAATTTTATTCTTTTATTAAAAATAAATAATTTATTAAATATAAAATATTAAAATTTATTAATTTATATTTTTAATAATATAAAAAAATTAAAGTAAATAAATTATTTTAAAAATATAAATATATATTTTCTTAAAAAAATATATAATTAATATTACCTTTTTAAATATAAAGTTAAAAGATTTATAATTATAATTTTATAATTAGTTTTTATTTAATTATATTATATTATTATAACTTTATTTAATTTTATTTAAACTTTTTTAAACTTTTAATATTTTTTTAAAGAATTAAATTTAAAAGAGAATTTTTAAGTTTAAATTTAAAATTTTATAAATTTTAATTTCCTTTAATTTAAACTTATAATTCTTTAATTTCTTTAAAAATATATTAATTATTTTAAATATTAATAATTTTTTTAAATAAAAGTTTATTTTTATATAATTATAAATTTAATTATTAATAATTATTTTTTCTTTTTTATAAATTATTAAAATTATAAACTTAAATATTATATATAATAATAAAGTATAGTTATTTTATTTAATTATTTTTAATTTAATAATATAATAAGTTAAATAATTACTTTTAAATAGTTTTATTTATAAAGTTAATAGTCTTTTAAATTTATTAAATAAATATTTATTTAAATAAAGTTAAAACTTATATATATTTTTAATTAAAAGAATAATAACTTTTATTTTTACTTATTTTAATTAATTTATATTTAAGTTATATAATAATATTATATATAGTATTTAATAGTATTAAAATTAAATAACTTATAATTTATAATAATTTTAACTTTTAATAAGTTAATAATATTAATTTATATTAATATAATTTAATATATTAATATAAAAAAGTATTTTTTAATAATAAATAGTATTATAAATATAAATTATAAAGTTATAATAAAAAGTTTTATATAATAAATTTAATTAAATTAATTTTTAAAAAATATATTATTAGTTAGCTTAGCTTATATATAAGTAGGTGAAAGTAGTGTGTATTAATATTAGTTAGAGGTCTGCCTAGCTGGGCGGTGAAGCGCCTAATTAGGTTGGTTAGATCTATTAACTAAGCTTAGTAGCCCGTATAGGGGCACAAACCCACTAATCTTACTTATAATACTTATAGTAACTAATTTATTATAGCTTATTATTTCTATACTAGCACCTTTTTAATCTTTTAAAATCTTTCTTCCTTTTAACTAATTAGAGAGCTCTATTTACTAATAAAGTAGGTTCTAATTAAATCGCTCTAATTACTTAAAATTACTATTAAATATATAATTATAATTTACTTAATTTAAGCGATCTAAAAATACTTTAAATTAACGTTTTATAAATCGCCTAAATTACTTAAATTCTAATTACTTTAATAAGTAAAATTTAGTTTAAATTATTAATTACTTATTAGGTTATTTATTAAATAGTTACTAATTATAGCTATATTTAACTAGTTAGTCCTTTTTAATAGTTTCTTTTCCTTCTTATAGTTAACACTTTAAATTAACATTTTTAAGTTACCTAGTTACTTAATTACTCACTTAATTATTAATTGTTTATCGGGCCGTCTACTAATTATTTACTAGCTATAACTAATTATTAATTAATCTACAACCATTAGTTAGTCTAGTCAGTCCTTCTAATAGTTTCTTCTTCTTTTACTTATCTCTTACTTTATACGGTTAATTAGACTGTCTAACTGGCAGCTAGCTAGCAGCTATCAGAGAGTAGGGCTTACTTTAGGTATGAATCGCTATTTATGTAATTGCTTGAGTAGGGAGCTTAATTACGGTCTACTTGGTTGGTCACTTCAATCGGATTAGTTGGTCGGGCGTACTAAGCGTAGTTTTTATACAGCAAACATACTGCCACCTTATTTATATAGTCGGTCGCTTAGCCCGTAAGACCGTTACTTATACTTAAGGGTCTCTCGAAGGGTGCTTAGGAGGTTGGTAAGGGCGCCCAGCGAGTTGGTGGGCAGGCTCGAATTGTCGCTTACAAGAGAGTTATCGCTATGGGTTGCAAGAGAGATTACCTAACAGATAGAAAAGGCTGCTGCAACCATCCATAGTCTGACGCTTCTTATAGGCTATCGCAAAAGAGAGGTTGTCACTTAAGGGGTTACATACTGGCTTGAGCGAAGTATATAAAGTTGTTAGTTATAAGAGGGTTGTTATATAAGACTAGGCTAGTAAAGGCGTCTCGCTTAGTTATTTAAAAAGAGTTTATAAATTTTAAATCTCTAGAGATTACTACACTTAATTTAAGGTGTTACCTATAGCTAAAGAGGGGGTTATTAATAAAAGAAGAAGTTAAATTTTAAGTTTTTAGAGATTACTAAGTTTTTCTTAAAGTATAATAAATGTATATAACGCCTCTAATAGTTTTAAATTAATAGACTAAAATTAACGTTAATTTATTACTATTATTATTATTATAATTACTATAGTTTTAAAATAATAAATTAAGATTAATATTACTAGTTTTATAATGTTAATATAATTGCTTTTAAAGTAATTAACTATTTATATTTAACTATTTAAAGTTAGTAGGTAATTAATTAGTGTTGGTTAGCTTAGCTTATATGTAAGTAAGTGAAAGTGGTGTGTATTAGTGTTAGTTAGAGGTTTGTTTAGTTGGGTGGCGAAGCGCCTAGTTGGGTTGGCTAGACCTACTAACTAAGCTTGGTGGCTCGTGTAGGGATATGAACCTATTAATCTTACTTATAGTACTTATAGTGGCTAATTTATTGCAGCCTACTATTTTTATATATATTATATTTTATTTTTTAAAAACTTTAATTATTTATTTTTAATTTAATAATAAAATTAAAAAAATATAAATAGTTTATAATTAATATTATTATATTTTATTTTTAAAATAAATTATAAATTATTTTTTTAAAAAAATAATATTAAAAACTTTATAATAAAAAAATAAAAATATATTTATTTAAAATAAATAAATAAATTTTTAATAAAATAAAGATTTTATAATAATAAAAGTAATAAAAAGGTTATATAAAAAAGTAAAAATAAAAAAGATTTTAAAAAAGAAAAAGTTATATATATAAAAAAATAAAATAAAATATTTAAATAATTAAAACTTTATTTAATATTTTAATAAATAAAATTTATTTATTATAAATAATTTATTAAACTTCTTTATAATAAATAATTTATTAATTTAATTTTATTTTAATAAAATTTAAAAATAATTATTATAATATATAATATTTAATAATAATAATATTATATTATAATATTATAATATAATAATATATTTTATAATATTATATATTTAATATATAAAAGTTTTATATTTAAATAATTTTTAAAATAAATTAATTATTATTTTAAAATTATAATAAAATATTTTATAAATATTTATATTAATTTTTAAATAGTTTTTATATATTATTATATTTTATTATATTTTAAAATATTTAAATTATTTTATTAAATAATTAAAAGTTAAATTTAAATAATTAAAACTTTATTTTAAAATATAAAAGTTTAAATTAAATAGTTAAAAGTTTAAACTAAATAATTAAAGATTTAAATTAAAAGTTAAAAGTTTAAATTAAATAATTAAAGTTAAAAATAAAATATTTTAAAGTATTAAATATTAAAGTATTTTATTTAAATTTAAAAATATTGTTATTAACTTTAAAATATATTTTTATATATAAATATTATTTTATTATATTTAATTTTAAATATTTATAATTTATTTTTATTATATTAATTTAATTTATTAAAATATTTTATTTAAATTATTATTTTTAAGAATAAACTTTACTTTTAAATATAATATATATTTATAAAATATCTTTTATATATATAAAAAATTTAAAAACGTTTTTAAGTTTTAAAATAATAATTTTAATATATTATTAAAATTATTATATATTATTTAAAATATAATTTTATATTATTTAATATATTTTTAATAATTCTATTAATAAAATATTAAATAAAAATATTTAAATATATTTTTATTATATTTTTAAATTTATATTTATTTAATTATAAAGTAATTAATATAAATAATTAAATTAAAAAAACGTATAAGTTTAAGTAAATTATAAATTATTTTTTAATTTATATAAAAAATTTAAGAATATATATAATTATTAATTAATTAATATATATAATATAATTAAATAAATTTTTTATAAATTTTATAAATAATTTTTATAATTATATAAATTATAAATTTAAGTTTAATTTTTATAAAACTTATAAATTATTAAATTTAAAAAAACTTATTTATTATAAAAACCTTTATTTTTATTTTTAATTTTTAATTTTAATTTTAATTTTTAATTTTAATTATTTAATATAATTAAATAATTAAAAATTAATTTATTTTAATTATAATTTAATTAAAGATTAATAAATTAAAAATTAATTTAATTAAATTAAAAATTAAAAAATAAATTTATAATTTTAAAGTTAAATTTAATTATAAAAGTAAAGTATATTCTTAATAAATTAACTTATACTTTATATATAAAAATTAAGGTTTTAAACTTATAAAATAAAGTATAAAAACTTATATTAAATAAATTAAAAAAATTAATAGAATAAATTATAGATTTATATAATTAAATATTTTATTATATAGAAATTTATTAATATTTATTTAAATATTTAAATATAAATTAATAATAGAAAATAAAATAAATTAATAACTTAATAAATTTTAATGAATTTATTAAGTATTTCTATATAATAAATCTATTATAAATTTATAATAAATTAATAAATATTATAATTTATTATAAATTTATAATAAAATAGTAAATTTATTATAAATTTATAATAAAATATATTAAATACTTTTAA